AGGAAAGGTAAGTGATGTGCTTTAAAGTGTAAAGAGATATTGGGTTATGAATATAATTTGTTTAGATGCTTACAAATTCATATTGCAGGGAAACTATATTTCCACCTGTGGGGGTTAGATATATGGTGGGTGTGTTGACCTTGGAGCACTGTGTATCTGTCCCAGGTGGGAGCTGGTGGGGCGGCTGGTCCTCAGGGACCCCGGGGGAAGCGCGGGCCAGCAGGCCCACCTGGACAGAGTGGTCCCACAGGAGGGAAGGGTGTTCGAGGCGAGAGCGGACCAGATGGATTTCGTGGACCTCCAGGTCCTCCTGTAAGAAAAATACAAGGCCTTAAACACTACACTCTCAGAGTTTACTTGATTTCAGAGTAATATTATACCATTAACAATGCAATTAAGATGAAAACCATTACTATTTAATCTTTACTACAGCTGGCTTGTACTAGGGCTGTGGCGCCTACCACCAAAAATGATTTGCACAGGTAGAATAAATAAGAGGCTCACTGCAGCGCCTGCCAACAGCTCTGGTGTGAAGAACATGTTTAAAGAGTTTTCATTAGTCCAAAGTTTGTAGTGAGTCACAGCGAGAGTTTCATTTAGTGCACTCATAAATCCATAATGAGCCTGAAGGGAGATTTTGGCTGGGTTAGACTGCTGCATTTCCTGTCAGAGGCAGCCTTCTTCAGCATGCTGTTGTGTAACACTCATGTCCCAGAGTCTGGGGTTTCTCCAGTGAAGACTGTGCGGTGATTTGTTACCAGGGCCCAAGCCTGCCGGCCCAGCACGTTATTGAAGTCTGCAAGAGAGTGGTCCTGGAGCAGATGTCCACCTTCGCCAACTCTGTGAAAAGGACTTGTGCCGCAGTTTGTCCACTCTACGGAGATGTGCCCATGGGTGCCCCTGGTCCCCCTGGTCCCAAAGGGCCCCCTGGACCTCCTGTGAGTGTTAAACTATTCTGTGGCATTTACCCAACATGTAAGGCCAGACTCTATGTCTCAAGGTGCATGCTTTAGGTTTCATCTCACCTCCAGTAGACCTGCACTGGAGACATATTACTGGAGAGCTAGTCTGTATATTCTCCATACAGCCACACATACATTGTCTGGCTGACTGCATTAAACACAAACACATTGTAAGGGTCTGGACAAGACTACGAGAGCTCAAGTATTTGGCAGAACAGCTTGGAATGAAAACATGACAATTTTCCACGTCTCCAAGAGGACAAATATACAGAGTCACACACCAGACTCGTCTGTGTTCAATGATTTTTGGAGAGTATCAAGGCTGTTTTCAGATTGGAATGGCTTTTCCACATTATTATACAGTGAACAACCAATTCATGTTCCCTAACCTCTCTAATCATAATGAGTCGTGGCCTGATATATGCTCCTAGATCCCTGAATATTTTAAAAATATTCCATTATATTTCCATTATATTGGGATATTGCACACTATGCCAAACCATGAATAACCTTGACTTCAAACACTGCAATGTTTTCCCATTACAAGATGGATGGTGAAGCAAATCAGTCTCAGACACTCAGTACTGAGCCGTTAGAGGTGTAAAGTTCACTTTTAAAGCATTAATGAAGGGAAATATATCCTGCTTAAGTCCATACATGCAATGAACAAAAACACGCTTTCATACACTTGTTATCAGGGTGACCCTGGTCCGATGGAGAAGAGGGTGAACTTGGACTCCCAGGATTTTACGGAGAAGCTGGGGATCCAGGTCGCAAAGGAGAAAGAGGTGTGTAAAATAATCCTAAAGTTTTGGTTGTGTGAGGACATGAAAAAAATTGATTTAAAATATGCCACGCAAGACTGTAAAACTCACAGCTCACATGCAGGTCTCTGCCTTAATACTTTCCTTTTAATGCAAATATTTTAACTATCAATAAAATCCTGTAGTGTAGTTAAATTACACTAAAGGATAATGAATGTGTTAAGGTGGAAGAGGAGAGGCCGGAGATAAAGGTCCTAAAGGCTATGGGCCACCAGGACACCCGGGAGACCAGGGACCCAAAGGTATCACCTTGTCAACATAAAATAACTACATGTGATTCAAGCTTTTACGTAGGCTTCAGTCTGAAGCTTCTATTGCTTTGACTGTTCTCAGGTCAGCGTGGGCGTCCAGGCAGAGTCTTCAACGGTCAGCCTGGGAAGCCTGGTGAGAGAGGTCATGTGGGTCGACCGGGGCTCAGGGGCCACGCTGGTCTGCGTGGGGCCCCAGGGGTCTGTGTCACCTCTGGGTGCGCCCCTCTGAATGCCACCCTTGGAATACCCGCGTTCAACCCAGCAACAAGAGCAGGGGCCCGCTCAGGAGCACGGCCAGGTCCTCGGAGGAGGACTCGACCCTAAAGAGACAGAACCAATATCAGAGAATACTATTGTTAATATGTGTTTACTTCTATACATTTAAACTGTAAATAGGGATACACCATGAAACATGAGAATGAATGACTTAAAATAACCAACCAAAAAGTGAAAAATGAGCTTGGTAAAAATACAGTATATTTGTACAAAACAGTGATTTTATTTAAAATGGTGAAAATGAGCTGTCTGTTCTTTCTAATAAAAACAGAAAATAATGTATGTGACATTATTAATGTGTGGCATTATGGACCAGGCTTAGCATATGGAGACCTCTTTGTAAACATCACAGTGGGCATTCAGGAGAGTATAAAGGTTTCTCTGTATGCATTGCAGTCTAATTTAGTGTTTTCCACTCAGTGGCTTCCTTGATACAACTCTATTAAATTGGATTTGTCTCTAGATTTTCTGTGTGGACTTTCCAGCCTTTAACCCTGTCTTCTCAGTGTAATGGAGACATTACATAATAGCATGAGGTGTTGGTCTGTCGATCTATATTATCTTTATGGGCTAGTGCCTTTTCACTGCATTGATTCCAAAAGGTCTTAAAATGGAGAGAAGATGATTCAGGGATTCCCACATGTAGTTGAATAATGAGCTGAATAAGGAAACATTGGAGGGTGGCTCTTTCCTGGCCTGTGTCTTAATACTGTATACAGTATTACCAAGCTCCGCCCCTTTCTGACTGCCGCATCTTGTGTGCCATGCTGTTTTAGTTTGTTCCATCAAAGGATGTGGAGGCCTGTTCAGTCATGGAAACTATAACAAAGGACAATTTGGTGCTTTTACAACTTCCCTATATTTGATATTTATCTTGTGGCTACAACTAAACATGCTACCAATACACATGAATTGGTACATATGCCATGATTAAATCATTGCAGTAATGGCTGGAGTTCAAACTGATGTCACAAAATGAGGGGTTTTAGAAAGAGTCATTAGAGTGTCTCCAGGCAGCCTATATACAGAATGCTAATGCATGTATAATCATAGCCTAAATGTGCCGTTGAAGCACCCAGAGCACTTGAAATGCCTGAAGATTTCAGTAAGATTTAAGTAATATAATGTATAATTTACTCCTTTAATATATGAATCTTTACAATAGCACTAGAATAACTAATATTAAGATTATGACAATCTACTATATGCTTTTGGGAATGTGTAGAGGGGGTGAGAATGGGGCTCAAGACCCTGCCCATTTGCCCTTTGCCCTTCAAGTGCCCTGGTCTTTTTTATATATGTATATCAGTAACATCATCCATGTGTTTTTTTGTGATATAAATGCCTATACATCAAACAAAGAGATATTGTACCTCTGTTAGCATAAACTTGACATTTTTGCCTCATCGAGAAGAAGACCAACAGGTTTGACTACGCACACCCCTGATTCTCTGAGCACAGCCCTGCACTAGACATTTACTTACACTATTAGAGGTGTTTTGAGACACAGAAGAGATCACTATAGTGTGGTTACCATAAAATTGAATAAATTAACATAAACAACAATTGTAGTTAGCTGTCATAAGTTTAATTTATGACTGAAATTTCTTGCAGTGAAGTGATGCATTCTCAAGTTGGACACGTTAAACAGATCAAGTTCTATGCTTTGATGCAGAAAGGCAACGGTGACACCAGTTGCTGTTTGTAACAAGAATCCCATCTATGATATGAATCTATTATAAAAGATTGAGCCAGTCAGTTCTCTGTGTACACCAGTGTATACCTCTGAAGTCCAGCAGAGTGTGCTGCCACTCAGCCATGACACCTCGCTCACTCAAGCCAAATGGTCCTCTTTTACAAGCCAGACTCAGTCTGAGAATTCAGTGCATCACTGGGGAAGCTGCTAGGACTATTGTGAGTGACATAATCTCTGCAAATATCAAATAATTACATACAGTATGTTAGATCTTATTCTTTGAGGAATATTTATAGAGTGACAGCTTCATGTGTCACACTGTGGAATGTCATAATTATTCAGTGCATCCAAAAGTTTAGGGGATAAAGTCTCTTGCTCAGCAAAAAGCTTTGAGCCTGTTGACAGCCAGGGTGAAGTTGCTGCTCTGTATAAAGCATGATTAAACATGTTTGAGCATCTCACTGTAGTGGCTTGCTCCACAGATGCAGAGACAACTCTGCAGTCCTAATGACTCCCAGCTGTCAGTTCAGGAGAAGGACAGCAGTAGCATTTCACACCTTGTTTGGTGCTTACTCATAGAAATAATCTGCTTTTGATGAAGAGTATAATTGCATTTATGCAGAAAGTTATGATGACAACAGTATTTAGACAGTTCATTTGGAGCTTGTCATTTCTCCAGAACTTCATGTTCTCTGGTTGTGCCCCTAGCAACCAAAGCTGGCGTCCAAACTCTCGACACTTGGACCAATCCCCTTCTCATTACTGCTATTTTCCCCTTTGGACTGTCACTGAAATGGGCTGTCTTTTTCGCTATTTCATGCTCTCCTTATCTGCCTCTCTTTCCACCCGTAGTAATTGAGAGTGGCTGTAGGCCAGTAAAAGTCCAGTCTGAGAGGGGCTGGTTGGTGGGGGAGTGGAGAGGGAGACGGGGGACAGAAAAAGAGCAGAGCAAGAAAGGGCAGACTTTCATTCACCAGAAAGACATGTGCTCTTCAGGATAAAGCCACCTTCTGTAACATCGGTAGTGATCACCATCTTTAATGTAAGGATTTACAAATATCTGGACGACCACTCGGACATCTTCTGGTAACAATGTTATTGTTTTATTCTTCTCTTTTATCATAATTTTTTATTGTCAACACATGCATGATTAACAATATAGCTATGATCTCAAAATAGCTGTATCCACTTGCCCATTACACTGCATTGCTCAGGATTTAATATAACATAAACATACTGTCTGCCTTTTCTCCTGTCCCATCCTGCAGCGGTCACATATTGAAGACATTAGGTTTCAGTTATCAGTCCCTTGTTTGTGCTACTGCCTTGCAAAGAATGAATGGACTGTGATCAAAAAATGTCCCCAGCTTTTTTATTGCTTCTCGTAAAGAAGATGTTTCTGAGGTTTCTTAAAGTAGAATACTATATGGTGCATAAGCAGAGCTGCAGGCATAGTCACATATCACTGGTGTCTCTAGTGGACAGCCTGAAAAAGACGAGAATTACTGTATATATCATTTGGTGTTGGCATGTTGGCTTAAGATGGGACTGTTTTACAAGTGCTGATTTGGACATTCACATTAGCACAGAACAGATTTACACAGAACAACTGATAGGGGCTGGCTTCCTCTTGTTCCTTGAAGAATTTGGCAGCAGTAAATTCCCTCTAAACTTGGCGATCGCTGTCTAACATGAAACACACTTGTTGATGCTGGACAGGACTCACTTCCTTTTGCCAAATTTATAACAAATTATAAATAACTGATAAGAGACAAAGGTCTGTGTTATAGAGACAACATTTTACCATTCTAATAATACTATTTTTGTATGTGTTACCTTTAGGCAAATGTAATACTTTGAGTCACCTTTGGATTTAGTCGATATGTGCTTTAACATTTTTTGAACTGAAGTAGTATATTTGTTTTACATTAGATTAGAAGATTGGAGATATGCTGAATTTGATCAGTGTCATCTATGATTAAAGTTAATAGTAGTAGTAGTTAGTAGTAGTAGTACTTTATTAGGTCATTTGCAGCACCAACACCATTTGTAGACACCCCCATCATGACCAAAGGGGTTTAGGTTTAAGTATAAAGTATTATTCAAGTCGATTGAAAATAAACTTTTATCATAATGGATTACTAAAATATTGTCTGAATACCAGCATTGAGCACAAAAAAATATGCCCAAAAATATGCCCATCCTTATTAGATCCCTTTATTAAAGCTTGGGACTGGCACTAAAACACAAGTGTTGTGTAATGAAATGCTTTGTGAACAACATCATATTAAAACAAAGATTCTCCCACTGAGTAATTACATCTCTGATAACAATTAACATTTTGTTGGACTGAGACTGCACATGCACCTGCTCCATAACAGTTTAATGTCTGACTCATGAACCATAACAAGTGCAATGATGCATTTTTATTCCTGGATAGCTGTGAAACCCTCTTCTTCACGTACATGTGTCTGGTCACTGTCCATCGGTGGAATTTCGCTGTCTGCCGCTGTAAATCAATTCCATGTGGCTCCAGCTGAGGTGTAGATATTGTTTGGTCGAGGGAAAAGTCATTCAGGCTACAGCAGAAGACAAGGGGTTTTCCAACGGCCTCCTCCAGCTCTCTAGTGAGGAAAAATCTACAACCAAACCAGCGCCTCCTTCTTCTTCACTTACGTTACTTCAAGTCACGTTTACATGGTGGAAAAACGCAGTCACTATTAAAGTACCTCGAACTTCACAGCCTTTAAGGTCAAAGGTTACATCCTGGCTGTGGATTTGCTGACCTTCATGTGTCCCAGACTAAGCTAAGAATAAGGTGCACAATCAGAGGACTCTTATCAAAATTCCTTCCACCAGACTTGCCTCTGATACGCTACAGATCTGGACCTCATTTACAAGCGTTCAAAATGTCAGCCGCCTCTCTGCCTTCACGTGTTGGAAAATACAGTAAAAGATTATACAGCAAGCCCGCCACACAAACCGGTTCCTTTAAAGCCATGCTGCGGGGGCAAAAGCTGATTGTGCATTTTAACAATTTGTTATAAAAAATAAAATGTGCCCTTATAAATGTAATCAATGTGTTCTTATAAAACTTTAGGAGGTTGAGGTTTTACAACACAAATTTTCAAACGATTAACCTTTTGTATATACCACAAGATACCCCAAACTACACTGTAACAATGTGCCTATTTGAACTAAAAGAAAATGCAATCAAACATAAGACCTATATTTTTGTCATGGTGTCATTTACCACATCTGCTCAAACACATGGAACATAAATATAATTGCAATTACAAGTTGAGGTTAATCAAATATGTTTATGGTGAGAGCCACATGTGTCAAATTTGCTTAAAGTCTACAGCTACAAGGGCACTTTGTGGAAATAAAATTGATGTGAAAATAATGGCTTTCAGCTTAGACTGGGGTGTTTTCAAGCTTTTTTGATTCTCTTTTAACAACAAACCAACAAACCCGAAATTCACATGCACAGAAAGAGGGGCAGCCTAAAAGAACAAGTCTGTAGTGTGTATTCTTGTGTAGTATTTACATTGGTACAGTTGCCAAACCTTTGCTGTGAGAAAACCGTTTGCTATTTCATGCTTTAAATAAGCAACAGCCCATCGAAAGTTTTTGATTGACTAAAGACATGCTCTGTGCAGCACTTAATCAGATAAAAGGGAGCAAGGCGTGGCATTAGAAGAGTTCACAAAACTGTTCAATATCTTTATAAGACATGACTCAGGCTGCACTCACAAGAACACAGGCTCATGGAAGTTCAAACAATAACAACTATTTATTCAGAGAAGTACTAAGAAACTATGCCTTTATGTGTTAACAAGCAGAATAAACAAATCAGTCACTCACAACATTCAGCTCACTGCATGCCTCCTTTGTGCTCAAGTCCATTAAATCCTTATTAACCCCATGAAATTATTACCTATACAAAATTTGGTCAACAAAGACGCCATCAACCAATTACTGTAAGCAATCCAAGTCTACAGGCCTAATAATAAAGGGTCAAGTTCACGTAAAACAATATATTTGGTAAAAATCCCACTGTAAAATGTGATCCTACATATAAACCTGGACAATGTGATTAAATGCAATGTCTTATGACACTCTAGCTGTTTAAGCCCTTGGTGACTTTTGAAAAATGGGCAGCAGAAAAGTGAAAATATTTTGTTTGTGGCCAGTAGTAGTGGAAAGTAACAAAGTAAAAGTAAAGTACTGTACTGTACTTAAGCATACATTTGAAACTGTACTTTACTTAAGAACTTTTTAAGCGGATACTTTTACTTTTACTTCAAAACATATGAGAGCAGGTATCTGTGCTTTCTACTCCACTACGTTTTTGAACAGGATTTAAACATAAAAGTACTTTTTATCTGAGCAAACAAAAATGGGAAAATTATCAATTCAAGTGTTTCTGTTGAACAAAATTCAACACAAATATTCATCAAATCACTACATTTGAGGCTTTATTAGACCAAAATATGTGCAAAATACTTTTACTTTTTACTCAGGTACTTCAATAATTTTACTTAAGTAGATTTTTTATGTGATACATTTACTTGAGTATTTCTTTGCTCTGGTATCTGTACTTTTACTTAAGTAACAAAATTGAGTACCTCTTCCACCACTGATGGCCAGAACTCCTTGGAAGAGAGTAAGGAATCGTGGAGTCACATGGGTGTAATCATTTGATATCCGGATCAGGTATCAGGGAGATAAAGCCCATAATAGCTATAACACTATCACCATCCGGAAGGTTACACTGGGACATTTACTATCTTCAGAGGAGCTTGGCATCTCCAGAGTTTACAGTAGCTTTGAATGGGAAAGCCATTTGAAGCCAGTCAGCAGGGGAGCACTTCAATCACTTTTCCATATGATTCTGAATGAAATAAGATCAGTGGGGCTTCTTGTAACAGCTGGGCAAAGTGCAGGGGGGCGGGCAGGTGCCTGAGAATCACACAGACTAAATCAGAAACTTGAGTGATGGTTAGAGGGCAAATAGCCAGTTCAAGCATGGTGCTAGCAAAGTTGGCAGGACATATCAAATCTTCAGGGAGAGGTATGGAAGACGACCAAAAGATATTAATCATGGCCTAAGTTGTTTCATTTACTTGTACTCCAACTGTCAGTTTTCTGTATGTGGCTTCAGGCATGTTTTCTTTCAGCAAAAGTGTAAAATAACTTCTCACACCTGCTTAAATAACTTATGTCAAGGAATTAGAGTAGTGTAAGGTGATGGAGAAGTCTTTTTACGTTGCAGAGTTTGTCCTGTAGCGACGCCATAGACAGGCAAATATTGGCAAGTGACAGAGGATAAGAGGAAACAGCTGAGGATCCCAACGGAAATATTGACTTGTTTGGTGCCATGTGAGGATGTGGTAGATGAGGTCTGAGGGAAAATGCTTAGGTGTCCTGCAGCTGGAACTGCTTTGGAAAGCTGCAGTGATCCTTGTGGACTGTGTGGGGAATTAGTGGTAAAGGAGTATTAAGCTTTGGGGCAGGATTACATGTATCTGTGGGTGCCGTATGAAGCTCTCAGCAGGAGAACCTGTGTCATTTTACAACCAGAAACCACTAAGTGAAAGACATATACTTTACACTCTGTAGTGGTTTCACAACTGTAAGGTGCATATTCATTACTTACTAAATGTCTGTTTGTGAGAAATTCTGCATGTTATGTTCTCATTATTAATGCAGCAGTTTGTTTCACAAATATACTTTAGATGGCCTATAATGTCATATAACAGATAATGTAACTTGCTAAGTAGTGGAACAAAAAATTCTTAATAGTCATTCTTATAAAACAGTTTTCACTGAAAAATCTGCCATAAACAAAGTGTGGAGAGGAAGAAATCAGTTAGCAAGCAGAGAGGGCAACCCTTTGCCAGGGCACTGGCTCAGTCTTTTTCTATGGTCTACTGTCATAAACAAGGATTTTACAAATGACTTTAAACAAGTGACAAAGTGATAAATTCTTATGTCACATTCATTAGTGTTTTCATCCAGTTTATAAAAGTCAAATGTCAATGCACAATCCTTTCTAAAAAATAACAATTTGAGGCATGCTTTATGCAGTGCTTCCCTTCCCATGGTTGTACAACATATTACAATTATTTCCAGACACACTTTAATCTGTGTTAGATAGATTATGCCTCAGTTACCAACCACAAACCAGACACTAGACATTTCTTTGAAAAAGAAAATAACTGTAATAATTTAAATACTGTAGATAAGATGGTAAATGCAATATAATAACCTCAGTATCAGGACACTATAGGCCAATCTAAGACAACTTTGTGAAACAACCACAGATTACCATTTTAAATGGCTTGCCATTGTCGTCCTTACCACAGTCAAACAAAGCATGTTTTCTCCTTCCTGTAGGTGCTCAGGTGGATCTTGGTACTGCTGCATAATGGGTAACAAAGCAACATCAGTGCACTGTGCCTTAAGAATCCTGTGCTTCACGCTTCTCCACTTAATTAGTTCAGCACAAGATGAAGACATAAGAAGTAAGAATGCTGTCTTCATTCTCACACAAGTCTTGCTGATTGCACTAAAATTCTAGTAGTTATTGCAGCTTAACTTAAAATATTGTCAAAATATAGTAATAATGGACTGACTGAACTCCTTGTCTTCTTCAGGTTGTAGGACCGCCCCTTGTGACTTGGTTTTCATTTTAGATGGATCTTGGAGTGTGGAAGATATAAATTTTGATATAGTGAAGCGATGGCTTGTCAATATAACATCCAGCTTTCAGATTGGACAGAAGTTCACACAAGTCGGTGTAGTTCAGTACAGCGATGACCCTATTTTAGAGATCCCTCTTGGGAAGTACTCCTCCAACAAAGAGGTTCTAAAGGCCATGGAAGGCATCGAGTACATGGGCGGTAACACAAGGACAGGAACTGCCATCAAATTTGCCACTGATAAATTGTTTGGTCTCTCGGAGCGTGGTCCTGCTGGTGTCTCCAGGATTGCTGTTGTTCTTACGGATGGGAAGTCACAAGATGAGGTTCTGAAAGCCGCAGAAGCAGCAAGGAAAAAGGGAGTGATTCTGTTTGCAATAGGAGTTGGCTCAGAGACAGAGGAGGCAGAGTTAAGAGACATCGCTAACAAGCCATCTTCAACATATGTGTTCTCTGTGGAGGACTACAAGGCCATTTCCAGGATCATACAGGTCATCAGGCAGAAACTTTGTGAAGGTGAACACATGATTTTACTTTAAAGATGTATAGTACTGCCTATGTCTGTCTATTTACTTTCTATCATTACATTTCAATTATACTTGTTCTATACAGTTGGCAACAGTACAGTTGAAAATAGATAAAAGGCAGCTTCTTATCTTTGATGAAAAGTGAGTTTCTCAATCTCATGTCATCTTTTCTGGGCTTTCTCCATCCTGTCTTCTTTTCTGACTTTCACAGAGACTGTGTGTCCAATAAAGATTCCTGTTGATTCACGAGATGAAAAGGGCTTTGATATTCTATTGCATTTAAATCTGGCCAAAAAGACCAAAAAGACCCAAGGGGCATTTTACGGTTCCAGGGCCTATGAAGTGACATCCCGAGTCGACCTCAGTACAGCTACAAGGTAACTATAGAATACAAACATACCTATGTCCCATATATCCTATACAGATGAAGCATAACATGACTGCTATGCTCAGTGAAGTGCACTATATTACATTATCTCTTCTCTATGGCTTACATTAATGCGTGAAATACATTAGGCAGCAAGAGCAGCATGTGGTGCTCAAAACTGATGTTAGCATGGGCAGGGGATAGTCAGTTTGACAAAAGCCAATAGAGCGCTGCTTGTATAGTTTGCCTGCACCTTGGAAAGAGAAACAGTAGACAGCATCTATAAAAATAGTGAAAGGTAGAAGCAGGGGGGGCTTGATATAAAGTGCATCCAAAGGTGATCATAATATTATGCCTGGTCAGTACCTCTTCTTAACAGTCTTGATGCTTGTTCAGGGACTTGTTTCCTGATGGACTACCACCCTCCTATGTCTTTGTGTCCACACTGAGATACAAAGGGTCAGTCACGAAGGAGGAGTGGGACTTGTGGAGGATCCAGACTCGAGATGGGAAACCTCAGATGGCTGTGACCTTAAATGGATACGAGCGCACAGTGTCTTTCACAACAACCAGCGAAGCCCCCAGTGGAACTCAAACAGTTACATTCTCTCAGAAGACTGCTTGGGTAACGTTCACATATTATTTGTTGTGTATTTTTAAAACTGACATCTTCTTATGAGCCTTCCTATAAATGCCTCCTTCTCATAACTCTGCAGCAACATGTTTTGAGAATAATCTCCCTGACTAACTATTTGAAAGCATTACAACATTTATCTGGGAAATTGTGAAATGTATTTGCTAAAAAATCCAAAGTTCATGTCTCATTACTCTGAAAACTGCAAAAATATGTACAGATAGGAGCATGTTCTAAATTGGATCAACTTCTGAACAACAGCCTGAATTACAGATCTAATCTATTCCTAAATTTTATGCATGCAATCACATTTAATTTATTAACAAGGTCACAACATTATATGACTCAAGTTAGGGAGAATCACTGGAGCAGATGCTGAAGAAACTCAAAGGGACAGATAGAGGAAAAAGCAGCAACCCATGCTACACACAAACACACAAAACACACACACACACACACACACGCACACACTGGGTCGATACTTCTTAGAGACATTATACTGACTTACATTCACTTCCTTGAGACTCATCCTTACCTTAACCATTGTTACTACTTGCCTAACCTTAACCATTTTTTATTTGTATCTTAACTTTAAACCATAGTGTCAATCTAAAAATAAAAAGGTTCATGCTATGGGAACCAGATTTTTGTTCCCATAATGGAGACAAGACCCCATGATGTGAGTGTGTACACAGATAATAGTCCCCACTCCCCACAATGTCATAAATACTCACCCACAAACTCAAAAGATTTAACTGTTGTTTCTTCTATTGACCACAACTTTGAATATTGACAGTTTTCTCTGCATTTATCTCAGTTGCATTTTATTTCCACAAAATGGTTCAACACTTGAAAACATCCTATTCTATTTAGTTATTGGATTAAAACAATAATCCACCATGTAATACTTTCCAGACCCTGTTGAGTTACACAAGCTTATGTTTGTGCTCACTTGTGATTCTGTGTTTGGGACAATAGAAACTGTTTGATGAGAAGTGGCACCAGTTGCGTCTGCTGGTCACAGAGGAGGATGTGACTCTTTACGTGGACGATCTGGAAATTGAAACACTCCCCTTAGAGCCCCCAGTTGGCATCTTCATCAACGGAAAAACACAAGTCGGAAAATACGTCCAGAAAGAAACTACCGTGCCAGTAAGTTAAGCCTCGCTGACAGCCATGTATTCAATAAATGTTTGCCTTTGATTGATGCAGTTCGACAAATAAACTGACGGTAAATGCACTGTAAAAAACAGGAAGCAATTTGCCTAATGTGCAGTTTACACTCGGTACAGTTACAGTAAAAGTCGGTCACACATCACACACTTTACAGCTGTCTCCTAAGGGACACGTCTTGGGCTAATGGTAGTAAATCTTTGGCAGTGCTAGCGTTTCAGTCCACAGGGTCTTATTATTCTCAGTTTTATTTGTCTGTTTTGGCACATTCCTCTACAAAAGTCCTCTCTCTTAATTCATAATAAGTCATAATTGAGCTGTGTTATTCGACAGAAATGTGCCGTTTCTTGAACATGGAAAGTGATTCATTGCCCCTAACCTAAACTGGAAGAATTCTCACATGTCCAAATCATCTGTAAACTAATTTCTTTTTTAAATACCCACAGGAATATGTGAACAGACACTCAAACATGATGCAACTAATATTGCTTTCAGTTACATCGCTCCTCGACTCTGAAATTCCCTTTCACTTGACATTCAAAGTTGTCAATCCATAGCCCAGAACCTACCCAGAAACTAATACTACCCCCACCGCCCTTTCCACATGTAGCTTTATCTTTTAACATTTTAACATGATCTATTTTACTTTATAACTGCTGTAAGGTGAACTGGAGTCTCTTGAAAGATGCCTCAAATAAAATATATTATCATTAGTATGTTAACAGTCAAAGATAACACAATCATTCCAACACAAATAATCTAAAATTGTACTAATAACCAAAACGTCAAATATTATGAAATTAATGCTTTTGTTATGATTGGCATTGTTCCATTCCTCACTTGCTCATAACATTTTTGAGTGTAAAAATTACTGACCCCATTCTTACAAACTTCTGTTTTCAGTTTGAAATTCAGAAGCTGCGGATCTACTGTGACCCCGAGCAGAACACCAGAGAAACAGCCTGTGAAGTACCTGGAGTTGTAAGCACAAACAATTTTCTCTAGACCTTTGACTTCTTGTACTGCTTATATTGAAGCCAGTCACTTAGAAATAATAATAGAAAAATATCCATCCATCTTATCTTTGCTGTTTCTCATTTCACGCCTGCAGTAGATTATTGTACCATTTCTGCAATCTCAGCATACTGATTCTGCTCCAGTGACTCCAGTGAAGGAGTGTTGGAGCAGCTTCAGACATTTGTGCTCAGTGTATGTTTTCATGGCCTTCTGGCTGTGTTCCTGTTTTCGTTAAACACTGGTCCGTTGTTATGATGACTTAGAGATTAGTACGACCACACAGTCACTGACTAATGGGTTTAATACAAGCCCACTGGAAATACATATAAAAAAGGCCAAAGACGCAAGCAGATACAACTTGCCAAACACCATGGCTCAAATCCCCAAGTCTCCAAGTTTTATTTAAAGAAAGAACACGCTCCTAAAAATAGGGAAAGCTTTTTTTTCCCCGATGGAGTCTAAGGTCTGTGTTTTCTCATTTATTTCATCAATACAGTGTTCCAACAGCCCTGACTATGCTGAGCCCACTGAAGAGCCTTGTGCCTGCCCACCTGGCCCACCAGGGCTTCCAGGTTCAAAGGTCAGTATCAGACAGAAATGGTGTTATGAATTACAATACATTATTACCACTATCCCAATTTAACAGTTTGCCACCACAGTGGATGCTTGTGGCAGAAAAGTACTTGTGTAATGTATATGCAGTGCAGTGGGGATGTTAATAAGGATCATCATCAAAAATATGAATTTCTTTCTGGGTTTAACAAACCACTAGTAGACCTCTACAGTAAATTTAATCTGGACAAAGCAGGATTACAGAGTGATGGGGAAACATTCATTGCGCTAATTTATTGTGATTCTATGCACAACACTGTTTAGTGAGTTAGTATGATACTTCAAGTCAAACTGCGTTCTGCTGGTTTATGTTTTATCTCAACAATCAAACACAGTCAGTGACACAGACATCTGACTTCGGCTAATACTGTGTTTCATTTGTTAAGGAAATGTTTCATTTCCTTAACAAAATCAGACTCCAGTCTTGACACCAAACTCACATTCAGTCAGAAATAGTCAACATATAAAGTACTGTTATTCAATCATTGTGAAAAAGTAGCTAATAGATAGAACGAAGTCTCAAGTAGTAGATTAATAAAGGATTTATAACAGCACTAGTTGTTATATTTGATGTCACATTTTTTCAAACTTGCAAAATCTATATATCACATCATATAATGTGTCTTTATTTTTTACATTGTTATGTGTTGTGTGCTATGTAATTTTCTGCAGGGTGAACAAGGAGTAATGGGTGATCCCGGTCAGCCTGGACCTGCTGGTGCTGATGGTAAGCCTGTGAGTACTACATAGTTCTATACAAACATACAGCACACAAAAGTCCCAGGGCCCCTGAATGCATCTGAGGCTTTTCCATAATTAAGTTAAACCATCCATTAGGTCATGACAGGCACTTCTCTGTGGTTTGGGCTTCTTCAAACTCTCACATATGTTACTCTGTTTCCAATGAGTAAATAAAAAGCATCTCTGATTATAGCGACAGTGGCTGCACAGTGGTGATTTGGAATAGTGTAAACATCCTGGAGCCAACCACATACTGTAGTTCAGAGAATGATCAAAACACATGCCATTTGTACACCACGCTCTGAGCTGATCCAGAGAGCATGCACAGCTGAGCAGGATAAAGCCTTTAACAGAGACTGTCTGTCTTCCATCTTCTTACCATGTGAAGGGGGTTCCTGGTGTTAGAGGGAGTCCCGGGCTGCCTGGTCCTCCAGGGGTAGAGGTAGGTTCATCATTCATTAAGACAATCTCACTACTCAAACTAATTATTCACCTACCAAAGGTACAACACAGTCTGTCTTTCTCACTCCTCAGGGACCACGTGGGCTGCCGGGGTACAAAGGGGAACCAGGAAGTCCAGGTGTTACGGTAGGAATGACTAAAAGCCAAATGGGATTACATGTGATTATGTGTTACATAATAGTTCATATCCTAACCTAAATGTTTCAGGGAGAGAGGGGAATTCCAGGACAACCCGGACAACCCGGAAAACAAGGAGAAAAGGTCAGTCCAACTCTTTGTTCTCTATTTGTTCTATATATAAATTTGAATTGATTCCAAACTCCATTCATCAAATGTGACAAACAGGAAACACAGAGGAGAGGGACTTACTAATCTTTTTTAAATGATGTGTATGTTTGGCTCAGGTCTGATCCTAGTGTTATGCAAACCCTAGTTACATACTTATAGAAACTATACAACTCTATATTCATTTTGAGAAGATACTGCTGGCTGACAGTGGAACACCCAATACAGCGCCGCCCATGTAAACAAACTGATAACAGTGGTTTTCTCTAGAATAATCTTGATTCATCTTATTCTCCGGTGACACAGGTTCAGCAGTACAATTTGTAAAATACTACCATGACAGACCCTGCAATATACATCAATGCTAACTCACTAGTGTGCATCAATCAGAACAGAGCATATGCTGCAGATATAAGCCGTGTCCCTTCTGACTGTTACATCCTCAGAGGGACTGCTCTGAGCAAAGACAGTGCTGCAGTTATCTGGATCCTCTTTAATGTCTTCGTGTTTCCTGACTTTAGCCCCGTCCCTGCCTTCACCCCGTCTTTCTTTTCTTAAGACAAATGGACATGTAAACATCCCTGTTGACTTTCAGCATAGAGGGATTATAACATATGTCCAGTCTTTTCACTGTACTTTTAAGATTCTGCCAAAAACATTAATGACCTGCTGTGCTGCTTTCAAATGCATTTAGACATCATTAAAATACAAAACTAATTTAGAAGAAAAAATAAATATTTCTAAGGATTCTTTATCATTTCCCATGTAGCCATAGTAAGAGTACCTATGAAGAAGTCAATCTACTGATTAAAAATCTTATGTTAGTAAATACAGGACACTAAAGTAAAAACAGTTATACTCTGTGAAGACACATGAGGATCAATCCCTCACTTCATCATGTTCAAATACTACAATGCCTAAAAAGTGACAACAGCAAATCCAGTAATCAAAAATGATTTAATTTGATGTCAGTTTAGATTTAGTGTATAATGCAACTAAAACTCATCCAGGTTATGAAACTACAAGAATACATGCTTTATAAGAAAGACATAAAGAGTCACCGGACATAGTAGTATAGGGTGCCTTCGTCCTTTCAGGAAAGCTCCAGATATATACAGCATATGTACCTTTCCAAATTGTTCCCACATTGAAAGACCACCCAATGGTGCAATCTTATTTTCCTGGCATGAGATTCAGAAAGTAGAAACACAAGATGTCTGTAGTGTTAAGGCAGAAGAACATGAATTGAGACAAGGTCCACATCTGCAATAACTAGCCACAGTCATTTGTCAGGGTTCATAAAAATGTGGCTGAATGTGTAAGAATATAAATCACCATTAACTCTCACACACAGCAAGCCTCCACTTAAAACAGGAAGTGCATATAGCCTAACCTTAAATAAATGGTAATCAAAGACCTGAAAAGATAACTGCTGTTTCTCATAGGGCTCACACGGTTCCCCTGGAATTGCTGGGTTTCCAGGAAAGACTGGTCAAACGGTAAAAGTGTACTGAGTTCTCTCTACTCTTTGTTTGCTATAATGAATACAATATTATTGTTTAATATGGATTTGTTTCTCAGGGAGAAAAGGGAAGTATGGGACCTCCCGGGCCACCAGGTTACCCAGGGAAAAACGTAAGTTCAGAGAAGTTACAGTTACATTTTTTATTCATTCAGTCAAATGACATTACAAAGTAATGACATTGACTGTGATTTCTCAGGGCCCACCAGGGAGAGAAGGGAAGGATGGACTTCCAGGAAGACCTGGAGAAAAAGTTGGTTTATGTATAAATTACTGTCATTCAAAATAGGTTTCACAATCACTGTAGTAAAAAAAAACATTTGTACCTACAAGCTTTTTTACAGCAAACATGAAAAGTCAATTTATTGCATTTTATTTCTAATTGGATAAAGGGTGAAGCTGGAATCAGTGGTATTCCTGGAGCTGATGGAAGACAAGGCCATCCAGTAAGTTATTCATATCACCCTTTAGCATATACTTTTTTTTTATTTTCCAGTATTTCAAATTAAAAGGACAATACCATTTAAGACTGAAGGGTTTTATATGTTAATAGCTATAAAACTGCCAAGTCCATAAAACAATTTGATGAACTTTCTATATTTTGTATTTCTACGTCTGCAAAGTGTTAACATAAGCACAAGAGAGATGACCCCTGAGAGCCACAAAACAATTGGTATTTCCCCTGCAGTTCAGCTCAGGATAGCCCTGTTATGCAACACTCTGCCTACAGTGCAGGCAGTAATGAAATGCAGTAACTGCTTTTGTTTGAGAAGCTACGGCCCTCAACCAGTCAAACAGTCCATGCAATACAACTGTAAGCTCACACGCTCCCAGCAGAGATAATGTATTCAGAAGGCTTTTATGTGTGGCTTTTGTTTATGTTACACTACTCAAACTCATGGTTCATGCACCAAGCTAGGCCTACAGCAGAGTGGACAAAGCTGTGCACCTGTTAAATGAGAGCAAATATTGGTATTGATTAATTGCTTTATTCTTAGCTGTTCTAATATTAATCCATATTTAAAATCAGTGCAGATGTTTCTAAACATGTTAGATAATCTAATAATTTCTTTGAATAACAGCTTGTTGTTACTGTAGGGGATGCCTGGTTTGCCAGGAAATGCTGGTCTAAATGGACAAAAGGTTAGTTTTCTAATTTAAAGGAATGCTAATGTCATGCACTGTTTTAGAGTGATTGTATGGTTTTGTCTGAAGGGAGAAGCTGGTTCTCCTGGGCCCAGGGGTTTTCAAGGATTAGTTGGACCACCGGTACATTTAACGGAACTTCCTCATTCTTTTCCTGTACTCCCTATGTGTGTACTGAACTGTATGTTTCTCTCCACAGGGTGAGATGGGGTTACCTGGTCCACCTGGTTTACAAGGACTAATGGGACACAAGGTAAAGTGGTGTTGTCTTTTTGAATGTTTGAATGTTAATAACAAAAGATCTTGCAGCACTACATAATAAGGCATTGCGCCAAGCGAAGGTTAGTTTGACTAATGGCTCCACCTGTAGGGCCTTTTTGTGTATTGCAATATAAACCAAAGCTGAGCCAGTGATGTTTTTTGTTTTGGTTTTTTTTTCTTTTAGAAAGGGCCATCACAAAAATGTATGAATACATAACTGTCTCTCAACTACAGATAGAAAGACTCACAGAATGTCACATGATTCTTTTTAAACAGGGGACTAAAGGTGAAAATGGAAATCCAGGAATTCAGGGTGTCCCAGGACCACTGGTATGAGCTTTATTTACATAGGTTTTATATTGTGATTAAAAGAAAACTTTTGTTTCATGTTTTTTTCATTGGTAAATAAATCTCAGGGGAGTGCAGGTGCCCCAGGAAGACCAGGCCAACCAGGACACCCAGGCATGCATGGACTAAAGGGCAGCAAGGTTTGTCTGTATGCTTCAAGTACCTCTTAAACAAAAAAATGCATACAAAATTACAAAAACATAAATAATCATAACATTGTTTTGAAAGGGACAAAAGGGGAATTCTGGTGAAAGAGGTGATATGGTAAGATCCAAACTATACCAATATCAAATAACTGAAAGAAATATTATGATCAAATGTGTCTTTGGTCAGGGGATGAAAGGTGAAAAAGGAGATCACGGACCACCGGGCAGCCATGTAAGAAACTATTATGTTTTAATACTTTTAATACAAAACGATTTCTACAGAAAAAGTTCCTTATAATCTAGACATGTTCTTACATAACCAGCCTATAGCATGTAGGCGGGAGGCTTTAAGCATAAACATTACATTTATCACTTTTCTCTAGCAGCTTGTCTCATAGTCTTTAATGCTTTGCAATGCTGGCCTCTGTACTCAATACAGGTACTGTATTGATACTAAATAATCATAATGAATTCACAGGGCATGACTGGTCCAACCGGAGTCAAAGGAGAAGTAAGACATTTCATTTATAGATTTAAGATTATTTGTTGACTGCTGTTTTATACTAAAAATATGGTATTTAAATATTCCCAGCGTGGGGCACCAGGAGAGCCAGGGCAGCGAGGCCTTGATGGTCAAGTGGGACGTCCCGGACAGCCCGGGCAGACAGGGGCTCCAGGCCCCCGCGGCATACAAGGAGACACAGGACCCCAAGGACCACCAGGCCCCGCAGCACGCATTGTAAGAGCATAATTACGCTCTATGCAGGATTTGAGATGTATTGTAGTCATTTATTTAATCTTTGCTGATTACAGGTCAATGAGTTATCAGAATCGCATATTCGCCAAATTTGCAGAGACATTCTTCAAAGTATGTATAATTTTAAAATACTGCTTAATGGCTGCAGGGGTATTTTATTTCTCATTTGTTTTACTAGCTGAACTGCCTCGGCTTTTGATAAGCAACCAACAGAGTAGCTGCTCTACCTGCTACAGCCAGCCTGGCACCCCAGGTCCACCAGGACCAATGGGGCCTCAGGGACTGAGGGGTCTCCCAGGCTTCAGCGGCGCAAGGGGCCAGCCAGGACATCCAGGTCGGCCGGGGCACCCGGGGGTCAGTGGTCTTAAAGGTAAGTGTACAGACATACATACCATCTTGAGAATGTCCAATCTCCTTTGATCTCAGAAGCTAAGCAGGGTTGAGCCTGGATTGTAAAGAGACAGGAGGCTGCAGGGAATACCAGATGACAAGTGCCACCGTGGGGCAGCAGTGACTCGATGTTTAGAGAACTTGTCCACCAAACAGTCAGCAAATCCAACCCCACTCATACTGTTATTGCGTCCTTAGGCAAGACATATCAGCCTCCAGTGCTGAAGTACACCAGTGTATTAATGACAGTGTATGGGCAAATTGGGGACAACAAACTGGCATGCTTACATGCATGTATTTCATGTATGTTCATTAACATGCACTGTCCCAAACAAAACTAACGAAGTGTACACAAGTTAATCTCTTTATAAATCCATTTTATGCTTGAACAAAGACTTCTCTTTTACAGGGGAGCCTGGGTTCAAAGGTGAAAAGGGCAGTGCTGGTCGGACAACTGTTGGCGACCCGGGTGAACCTGGGCCTACAGGTACAACACTAGCATTGTATTTTACATGCGACTCATTTTGTGTTAGCTACCTAAAATATGCTTTGATTGGACTTTTTAAAGTTTTACTTAATCTTTTTAATTTCCCAGGGCCAATGGGTCCCCCAGGTTACGGCAAAGCAGGTGGTCCAGGAAAGCCTGGACCTCCTGGACTAAATGGAGCTGAGGGTAAAAGTGGTAGCCCTGGTGTCCCAGGCCAGCCTGGTGTGTGTGACCCCTCCATGTGCTATGGGAGTATGATGAGAAGAGATCCTTACAGCAAAGGGCCCAACTATTGACACAGTGATCCCAGTGCAGGCACCAGGTGAAGAGGTACAGCCTTCTCAGGAAGAACTCAAACTTTCACCTCCTCCAGTGGCTACACAGTTATACTCATACAACCTGGTTTGAGGGTTAAAGCTGTTAGGTTTCATTTTATTTAATACAAGTGCTCATAAACTAGTCATTATAATGATGTGTTTAAAGACACTGCACCGGTGCTAATCTGTCACTACAGCAGTGGTGTTTTTAAACACAGGTTAAGCCAAAATGTCATATTGTACTATTACGTCTTCAGAAAACTGTGATTCATGGCCATGGGGCAGGATCTGTGTGGCATGTTGAACTTGCTGTGCCCATTGTCTCATCTGAAACTGTTTAGGACAGTGTTACTTAAATATGACATTATTCCATTGAGAAGGACAATGTTTAGGGTTTTTCATATGATCGCCCAAAAAATAAGTTTACAATCGTGTTATGTTGCATTTGAGTAATGGTAGCAGGTATTTTATTGTTATTTATAAATAAGTCTATGTTACTGTGTATCAGGATTCAAAACCAACTATGTGATTTTATTTTTGTGAAAGAAAAGAAAACTTTTGTATAAAACAAACTTGAATTAACAATTATCTGTGTGACGTTTTATTTTTGTGGTATGGGAAAATGCCATATCAAAATAGATCATCTCCTTCTCATCATCCTTCAATAAAGAACATGACTGGAAAATTATTTAGGCTAATACAAAACACAAATCTTTGTGGCTATGCCAGTGCCTGAGACCCTGAAAATGAAGAAATGTTCACTAGATGGCGCCATTTGATTACGACACCATGTTATGTGACGCTCCACTCAAAATAGATATTTAGTGAAAATGATTAAATGAATGTATTTTAGTGCATAATACTGCATATAAGACACCATGAACATTAATATCCATGTAGCATTGTATGCTAACCAGACAATAATTAAAGGATACATTAAGTAGTATAGTCTATGTGCCTTGACGTGTCCAGTTTATATTTACCAGTCCCACATTCATACCTAAAATCTTACTGTTTTGACTAAGTTCAGCGGGAATCCCTGGCAGTAAACACGCAGGCTTCTATATGTTAAAGTGATTAAAAGGCCTGTCATTATTCTCTCACTCGTTAAGACGCGGCTTCTCAGATTTCAAGTGTCTCCTTTTACACTCCAGAGCTTACATTCATCATGGGACTAGTTCACGTTTTTATTGAGGCTGGTGGAGGTGGGCGCACAAACAGTGAGAGACGCACAGAGTTGAGCAACTTGTCTCAAGATCACAGTGGGCACACGCGCTCACATCACCTCGGAGCGCATCTGACCTGTGGTGAACATCTCTCCACCACAATTACGCGGTTATCCTTCAGAGCAATGGGCGTAGGCTACCTACGCTTTTTTTCGTCTCGAAGGAGTTGAGGTGAGGGACGGGGTCGTAGCTCCATAAATACTTGGCTCACAATGACTTTGGATGGACCCGGTTGGATTTACCGCTGGAGCAGCCCAGAGCAGATACGCAACTTTATGGCAAACTGTATTTAAAGAAGGGCCGCTCGGTAAAGGCCTGCTCACTAACAACTGTGAAAGTTGCATCTTAGGCGGATAAAGGAACTCTGTGACAGGTATAGGCTAAGTGGATTTATGCTCTTCAAAGACTGGGATGTAGTTCAATTTTACAGCTAAGTAGCCTAAATAATTTGCCAAGATGACAGTCCTTACATCTTTGAACTGTGCAGTTCTGGGCATCGCGTGGAGCCTGAGCTTTTTGTCGTGCGCTCATTGTGGGATAAGTGATCACCATGTGCACTCCAGTTTTATCTACAGGAGATTGCGCAATCACGAACGCAAGGAGATCCAGAGAGAGATCCTGTCCATCCTGGGTTTGCCCCACCGGCCGAGGCCCTTCTCTCCCGGGAAGCAGTCCTCCTCTGCGCCGCTCTTCATGCTCGACCTGTACAATGCTATGGCCGTGGAGGAAGAAAGCGCGCACCACGGTACAGGGAAAGGCTTCAGTGCCAAGGCGGCCGGCCAGTCCCGGAAAGCTTACTACAGTCCCCAGGGCAACGGATACTCCCGTATGGTACAGCCCTACCGCGCGGCGCCTCTGTTGGGCCATAACCCTGCGCTCACCACGGCACATGACACTAGCTTCCTAAACGATGCCGACATGGTCATGAGTTTTGTTAATTTAGGTAAGTGCCCCTAGTCTTAAAAAACTCTTGACAGAAACGTCTACCACGCTACATGAAACTGTATACTACTATACAGTATATTAGACAAGAGAATGCTACAATTCTGCACATTGACGCGTGTTGGTGAGACGTCTTGTCTAAATAGACATGATCTCTCAAATGATAATGGTGTGCATTTAGTGCAGTAGCCGTGACCCTTGGCCTTACATGTTATCAGATAACTGTCTGACCTTGAGAAAATTGGCTTAGATTATTTACTTTTGGAAGAATTTCATTGACTGGTCTGTGCATGTTGCATTTTGTTTGGAAGAAGAGAAGAAAAGGTGGTAGAAATACAATAGCAATACTATCAAGATTAGAAACATAACATTAAGGGTAAACTATAAGGATATGTTATTTGGGTTCCATTGCTTAGAGCCCTAATCTCTGAGCGCGCTCTGAGTCCATCTGTTTCCACTTAACACAGACTAGGGCATGTACACTGTCACCCCTGAAAGGCCGCTCAGTCCTGGCCACTGTCAGTGAAGTGTTCAATGGGCCTCTGTCTCATTACAGTACATATAAATATAGCTACCGTCAGCTCTCAACACCATGTGCTACATCCTCATTTAGAGAAATGCTTCATTATTCCACACAGGCTTTTGTAAATGTACTAACTTCATACTTTACAGTACATATTGCAGGAAAACGCAAACAGAATTTTTGTTGTTGACATAGAAACACAATCTGTACATAATTAGTAGTCAAATATTTTGTACAAACATGCGATAGATAGATGCTATTTTGTACAGTTTTAAATAGTAACAGAAGTAGCAAAAGGGGAATTTTCTAAATTGTTGTTTGCATTTTAGTTAAGTCTTTTTTTCATTGCATTAGTAATTTAGTTTAGAATAATATAATAGAAATTTAGTTTAGAATAATACAAACTCTAATATATGATAATAACATATGTTATTATTATATTATGATCAAATATTTACAACAGTACACATTGCAATTTTACTGTGTTATCTTTGTAGATAAACAAAATTAATACTTAAGGTTTGTGAGTGGCTATTGTTTCTGTTTCACTTTACCGCCTGTGGCTCATTTAATGGAACATGTTCAATGGGTATAAGTCAAAAATGACCTCTGACCTCTTCGTGCTAAGTAACCACAGGCACTGTCTCATGATAAAGTATCTGCAAATGTACCGCCTGATATCAGCATTAATGTTGAACAACCAAAGCCACACCTCTACAGAACATTTTTTTATCCACTAAGCTGCTAACAGCATTGTCTGACATTTTTAAACTAATGTCCACAATCTCCAATAGCAGTAGTAGCAAAGCCTGTCATAATGGAAAAATAATCCTTTCTTTCAGTGCATTCATCAGTACATTAGATATAGTTATGGCTCATGGTAAGGGTCACTCAACACTCACGGCCCGTCTATAACAGGAGGTCATCAAAAGGTCATAAATGAGGTCAGGACAACGCTCACATGACGTTGGTGGACCGTGCTTGCTCTTTTCTCTCACTTGAGGAGTGGGCAAAAGTGTTTTTAATTGAAATCAGCCTGTTTTTCTAAACTGACAGCCCATTCATCATGGCGCAGAACGCAGTTAGGCACACAGTGGAGGCCTGTCTGGGAACGGCTACCTGTACTCAGTTGACTGATTTAATGAACTGGAAAGTGCTTTTGTTGGGACTCTAAATGTTTACATTTCATGTGGAATGTAAAAGAAGATATTATAAATTAGTTTTCTGTATGATACTGTTGACATGAGTTTTTACTTACAATGGTGGTTCAGGGGATCAGGGCATATTTTATGAGTAAGCTTTACTGAGAGTGAAAGTAATTTCTTCATTTTCTTTGCCAGTGGAGAAAGATAAAGATTTCTCACACCAAAGACGACACTACAAGGAGTTCCGGTTTGATCTGACTCAGATCCCCGAGGGGGAAGCTGTGACTGCTGCCGAGTTTCGAATCTATAAGGATCGCAGCCATTCGAGATATGACAATATTACTCTGAAGATCTCCATATATCAAGTCATCAAAGAATATCAAAATAAGTGAGTACGAAACACACAACTTAAAACAATAATTGAAATAAACTTATCTACCATGTTTAAGCTGTTTTTTGGAATAAAATGAAGGTTCACATTAATTCAGTTATACCGTAATATTTTGCAGCAAACATCATGCTAAGTTTAGGTTTTCAACTGTCACTGTCACCTACATCTGTCTGACAAATATAGTTCTTGGATAAAAAGATCTCCATTAGCAAGTTGCCACTCATAAGACTTGGTCCTTTTATCAGCTATCACTTGTCTAGTGCTGGCCACCACCCAGACGAAACCGCAAGGGCCGTTATAAGGGGGAGGGGGCTCCCTTGGGTGCCGCTCTGGTCACTGTAATGCCCACCACCTGCCTGTATTAACAATATCCCGGAAGTTCAAACCGTGACATAGCACAATACACAGGGGTGCACTTAAAAGTGGGTCTACATTTGGTTGCCAAAAATGTGTGTGGGTGATTGAAGGGGAGATATAACCCTCATGGGTTTGAGTCCAACTCAATGGTCCCTGCCATCTTAAAGGGGAAGACTGTTCAGTCCCCACACAGAGTTTCATTTTATCATTTAAACTGTTTTAACAGGTTTTGACTAATTATAGCAATAGTTTTGGTCTAGAATGTCATAGATTTTGACAGTTGTACATGGTGCACCTGCGTTATAAAAGAGATTATATTCTTGGGGTCGCTAAATAACATTGTTTTAAATTTCAAAATAAATCTCAACTAATAAAAGCCTGTTATTACAATGATATGTCCTTAAAAGTAGTTGACTGATATTGTCCTCTTACCTGCAGAGATGCAGACACTTTCCTGTTGGATTTCAAAAAGGTGCAGGCTTCAGATGGAGGCTGGCTCAGCTTTGACATCACAGCCACCAGTAACCACTGGGTGATGAACCCTCAGCACAACCTGGGCCTGCAGCTCTGTGTGGAGATGGGAGATGGTGAGTGAATAAGATTTGTTAAAAACTTAAACGTATGTAACAATTATAAACAATATGAATGCATTACCTGACGTTAATGTATTAAAAGGTGTGTACTTTTGAAGGCCGCAGCATCAACACCAAGTCTGCCGGAATCATTGGAAGGAATGGGCCCCAATCCAAACAGCCATTCCTGGTTGCTTTCTTTAAGGCTAGTGGAGTTTTGCTTCGCTCAGTGAGAGCTACTGGTGGGAAGAAAAAGAACCATAATCGCAATAAATCTACCAATCAACAAGAGTCATCACGAGCACCAAAGACTGGAGGTACTCATAATAAAATAAATTTTTAAACATACTATAAAAGGACATGAGATCATTTCTTTAGACTTGCAAATAGTTTAAAAACATTCTTTGCATTTTAATATATTTCAGACTATAACACAAGTGAACAGAAGCAAGCCTGCAAAAAGCATGAACTCTATGTGAGCTTCAGAGATTTGGGTTGGCAGGTAAATAAAAGCAATCACCACTATACTCTGTTTTTCCATTAACTTAAACCAAGTACTTGTTTTCTTTTGAAAGGACTGGATCATTGCTCCAGAGGGTTACGCTGCATTTTATTGTGATGGTGAATGTGCATTTCCTCTTAATGCACACATGAATGCAACGAATCATGCCATTGTTCAAACTCTTGTAAGTAAAGCCCAGTTATAACTTAATATACTTGGTGATTTTTTTTTTTTAATTCACAATTTGACCCCTTTTCCAGGTTCATTTAATGTTTCCTAACAATGTGCCAAAGCCATGCTGCGCTCCAACCAAACTGAATGCGATATCAGTGCTGTACTTTGATGACAGTTCCAACGTGATTCTTAAAAAATACAGGAACATGGTGGTGCGGTCTTGTGGTTGCCATTAGCATCCAGTAAGACTTTAATTTATGCTCTCTGGTCCAACTCTCTTGAAAACACATCTGCTGTGGCTGTGAGAATATGTACAGTGTTATGTATATAATGTTGTCTGGATAATTTATTAATAGCACTGATTATTGTTCTGTAAAAGTAAATAATATATGAGTTTTCCTTATGACTTTGTCCAATGGCATATATCCTCTTTTTATTAGTTTCTGCTATTCACTGGAATCAAAATGAGAACTTAAATTGAATATTTTTCCTTTTATTTGATATAATTGTTGTAGAGTTGTTTTCAGTTATAGTATCTTTAAGTTCTTAAGGTTTTTCTCATCACTGCTCTTCCCAAATAAAAAGTCAAAAATGTTGTTTACATCTTTTACCACTGAACTGCTTCAATATTTTCAAGCCAAATCTTCACTCCTTTGAAATGTTCTCTAACTCTTAAATTGTTCATTTTGATCTCATTCACAGATGCTGTTTTATTTTATGTGTGTTGTCATAGTTTACATAAGACATATCAAGCCGTAGAGTGTATTTTTATTAAACTTCAACAAAAAATGTGTCTGTTGCCCATTTTATATTCAAACATTCAGGGAAAAATACATCTTAGGCCACACAACTCTGCACTGACAAGCCTGCCAAATCTGAGCTGTCTGTTTGTATTTATGCTAATGTTTTAACCATTGCTGTCATGTTACTATCTCAAATTTACTGATAGCTGACACATAATATAATAAACTAGCTGAACCCTGTTGACATGCTCTTGGGAGGCAGTAATGTAAATGTTAGTCTGTAGCCATAGATCAGTGCTGCACAAAAGTGAATAGTGGTTATCATGAGACTCCCAGCAGTAATGGCTACATTATTTTCAGAGCAATCTTTCTAGAAATGTGGAGTGTACTCGACATCCCCAAAGTAATTTATGCAGTAGAAAGATACATTACTGCTTACTCTGCAGCGATATTCTGGGTAAGTTGTCAGAATTCAAACATACTATAGTATCACCCCAAAAAAATAGCGAGAATGGATTTTTCTTGCTTAAGCCCCTTGGTTATTTTGGGATTTTCAGTGGCCTTAGAAATGTAGAGATTAGATTTAAGATTAATATTTATTTACACAAGTGTGCTGACCTCTGAACACAGGATACGTACTGTTGCGCCTTTCTCGTGCCTCTCTTCCATTTTTGAAACTTCTCCCCAACACGGCGGAACATTGAGTGACTGTATTTCACTTAATGAAAAGCAGTGGCCAGCCTGTCCAGATGTTATGTGGCTTCCATCTAGAAGGAGTGTTGACATTCGGTGAATAGGAATGGCCACCTGCTAACCCAGCTCTTGGCATTAAGGATGATCTGAATTCCTGCGGCCTGTTGCCTGGCACGATTGCTCAGAGCACTTCACAATCCCATCGACTGTTAAATATCATGGATTCCTTCCAATCTGACTACATTTCTTATTTCTCAACACAAGAGCGGCTATGAAAGAGCTACTATTTTTGTAAGCTTCATGTCTCGGTTTCTTACAGCAAACTGTTGGCCACATGAATCGAAAAGTACAAGTGTTGTAGAAGAAATTCAAGAACATGTCTCAGTCTCTGCTACTGTGGTAAGAAGAGCAGGAGTCACCATTAAAAGTTAGTAGCATTATTCCCCAAAACCAAGAACTAAAAAAAAAAAAGATTTCTACTTCTGAGGAATAAACAGCAATACTGCATTTTGGTTTTACATGGCAAGTGTTAATGATCAGCATCACAAAAATTATATTTGAAATAGCTTTGATCACTAGAATGCTCCTATCATGCATGTTTGAGAACCCTGCAGTGTTAAGATTAAATAAATAATAAATAAAGACTAAATAAATAAATACATTTTGCAAATGCTTGTATTTTCAAATATATGCATATAATGTTATAAGGTTTTATAATAATTCATTCTTATATTCTTCTCCTTATATGTCTTTAATTACATATGATTCTACAATTGCAAACCCTAACCTTTATTATTCATTTGCTTTGGTAATTACCAGTTCCACCAATTTCCCGTGTTAACTCGTTGTTTCTTTCTTCCCGTGGCTCAAAGTTTATTTGCACAGTGTCACCTTGCAGTCCATCCACCAGGCAAGTGAAATTGTATCTAATAAAAATGTTTTGCAGTTTACCTAATTCATCTCCGCACATATGGTTCTTCTTATTTGTGTTTTGTGGGTGGCCTGCGACTTCCATGCGGCTCAATCAGTCCCTGCTGAAAAGAGGGGAACACATGGGTCACATTTTAACACGCTGTTTGGTATGACAAGGCTGCCGTAGGTCCACCATAATATGTGTCCTTACAGAAGGCAGTGGAGTAGCGTGCTTTAGTTTGTTTGTTTGTTTTTCTCCTATGCGTGCTCCCCAACCCTTTTAGGATTCGGAGTAAGAGCAGACTGTGAACTGAGCTGTCATTCTGCATTACCATAAGAGATGGCACCTGCAGGAGTGTATATATATCTTGGAAAGTTAACATGTTTGCGCAGTCCTGACATGTGCTTTATTTCAAATTCTGGCATCAGTTGGAATTGAGTTTCTTTTAATAGTATTACTGGAATCATAAATAAATATAATCTTCAGCTCATATACCTTTCAAATTAAAACGTATTTACTCAGAATGTACACAGCTAAAGCAACTTAAATGTCAAGAGGAGTTGTGTTAAATATTACTCCTTCTCATTTAAGAGTCTTTAGTTTAAGTTCAGTGTGTGCTTGCAATTTATGCTTAAAGACATTAAAAGCTTTAAATGAAAAACACAAATTAAAGCTGTTCCTTTCTAAGTCAAGGACTCCATCTGAATAAATAAACCAGATTTACTATATCGCCTAACTTTCAAAGCAGTTGTTAAAATGCAACTAAATAGACAACATCAGAGGGATTCCACTGTCTACCTGAACTCAATTACAGTCTTTAGACAAAACAATGATATTAAATTTTATTAAAGCATGCTCATTTCTACAGATTAAAAACACAGGGCATATACTGGCCATATTGACTTAATCATCATCACTGCAGTAGCCAAGACAATCAAACGTGGTATCTAGCTGTGTTTATTCTGCAGATTGGATGTAATGCTTCGTAAGCTCTGTAATGTATCTTGTGCAGCTGAGAAGAGACAATGGACTGTTCAAGCCCTTATCTGGTGAGCCTGCAAAAGGGCCTTAATGTTGTGTGAAAAATATTCAAATTTTTGCTCTATTGGTATTGTTGCTGACTGTTTTTATACTAGAAGCTGGTGGTCTCAACCAAATGGGATCATATACCAAAATGGAAGTGTAAAAGATGCTTTCTAAAATTTTGTAAATTTATGTAATATCTTAATGGATTTTAACATTCATGTATTAATCTTCACACATTTTATGCACATTTAAAATGAATTAAAATTGTGGAAACAACAGAACACTATGGCTTTTACATACATTTGGCATTTTGACATTGACTAGGACTAAGGAAGTCGTCGCAGTTTTTAAAAGCCGATGAAAAGCCCAGCAGAGATGTCAACAGTGACCACTTAACCCAGTTCATGTGCATTGTGACTGCAGTAAATTCAGCCCTGAAATCCTGTCTGTCCCTCGAAGGACATAGATACTCCTAAGGAAATCTCTGACTTTATGATCCGGTTGGAAATCTAATCCAGCCATGAAGACCTCCAAGGTAAAATATAACAACGTGCACAATAAATACTGAACTGCTTACATCTCCACCTGGATGCACAGTATCTATGAGCAAGCAACCGCCATGTGGAGGTAGGTGTATGCTCTACTCAAGCTATGGACAAGAAATGAGATAAATCAAGGTTCGGAATAATAGGTAGTGAGGACACCTTGTACACAGGTCAGTGGCTTCTGAGGATACAGTCCGCAGGGCGCAGTGTGGTGTGATTTGTGCGAGGATAATCTTTAACACACATGCTGTCTCAGAGGGAAACTGTGGAAAGTTGGCTCAGGAAATCTTTAGAAAATCAAGAGGTTATTTTAATGAAAGCCTTAAGATTCATTATTAAAAAAGTTAGTTTGGGCCTGTTCTTGCTATGTTTTGTAATAAAATCTAAAACAAAACAGTAATAATTATAGGCCTAAAACCAAAAATTAAGAACCCATTCGTGAGAAAGCCTCAGTCGCTTAATAAAGAAATTTGAATCAGATGGTGAATGAAAATTAATTTTAACTGGTTCCTGTTTTCCTCGTTCTTCACTGTGTTGTATTTCAGAGAAATTAAACACACTTTCATGCCATCCGAAACCTGCACTATATAAAGAGCCTTTTATTCACATCTGTTTTGGTCTTAAAACATGAAATAATACCCATCTTTTAAATGTAATGTTTCAGTCTGAAAATTGGTTGTGACTTCCAGTACTCTGAGTTTTATTTAATAATTTAAGGCAGTTGTCATCTGCTTGGTTTCCAAATTTCTCATGTGTAAAATTAGCTGTTCACAAAAGAGCAGACATGAACTTTTCTATTGTTGACTTCTTGATCTTCAACTTTATAAAACATACCTTTTATTACTTCATTCTAAAATACATTATGTACCTTGGGAAAATGGTCCAAGGTCAAACTTCATCCAAAAAGTGTAATAAGTTAAAACACTGTCCATTTTCAGATGGTGCGACTGTTTTGGATCCCTTTTATGTCCCTCTTTCCATGCGTAAGCCTTTAAACTTGCCTGTACTCACCTGCATCATATTGCTTTGTCAATGCTGGAAAGCCCCGGAGGCCACTTCTTTTCAGTGACCCTCTGCATCTGGTACTTGTCAAGATAAACTGCAGAATTTTCCTGCAAGCAGAAGAGAGCAGAAGAAACAGTAGTAGCTGGACATTAATTAAATCAGTATTTTTCCAAATAAAAGTAACACATAAATGGACTCCACAAGACCAATGCACTTTCTGTTGTGAATATTTTGAATTTTAGAACTGATCAACCTTGAAGTGAGACACAAAAAGGCTTTTTGAGGGCAGATCACATGAGTAGCCTGTGTCCCTGGAGAGAAAGGTAGGTCTCTCATCACAGCGCAGTTTAGCGTGGTGGGACGGTTGAATGCTAGGCCTTCATTAAGCCCCTCTATTGTTAACATCTGGGTTCAGAAGAATGGCCCTTTCTCTAGTTAAAGGTGCCCTGGCTTAACAAGGGATTTTATTACACGTGCGGTGGACACTGGCAGCAGTGACATGGCTGACAATGAGAACTCTGCAACTATAGGGTCAACAAATATGAATCCAAGAAACCTCTGTTAGTACTACTGAGTTTTAATTACAATGGTCAAAAGCCCTACAACATTTTCATTCTTTAGAGAAATAAGCAAAATAAAAGAATTTGTATAAAGACTGTAGACTATAGACGCTATAAAGAGGGAGTAAGTGTGATATCATTCATAACGTTTGGCTCCAGTCAAATGTAACTCACGAGTCGAGTTCCATTTTAGGAACAGGAATTTATTAACGGATTAAATGGTGAAATAAAATCTAAGGGATCATGTCACGAATATTTTAAGACCAAAATGACTAGGCTCACTGCAGGAGTTACAGAGAGAGGGGTGACAATTTCTCAATGTAAAGTCAATTGGAAACAGAGTCAATGGAGCTGGAAGCATCCCCATGAACATTTCCTATTTGGAACACGATGGCTAGCAGCTTAGCTATGTCCATTTATATATTCAGTGTATGGTTTAAATGAGGGTGACCAGACGTCCCTATTTAACTGGGACAGTCCCAGTTTTGAGCTGTCTCATCACATTTATTCAAAACCAATGATTTATCCCTGTTTTATACAACACAAGGCCTCCCAAGAGTCCAAATTTTGGACCAATTTGATCTAAACCAAAAGTAAATTAGGGCTGAAACAGGACTATATCCATTCTAAACCAGGGGAGCTCTCAGATTATACAATGACCCACATGAGAGTTGAGGACAATGCTACAAGCTTTTTTCACAATTTTATTTATACCCACCATCCCAGTTTTTAATTTTCAAAAATCTGGTCACCCTAGTTTAAACACAAAAAGGAATTTGAGCCCGAAATTCATTCCTCACTAAATAAACCAACCAGTTCGCATTTCTTTATGATACAATTTTTTCTGTTTAAAAACAACAAAACAACCATATAAGATGAAGTTAAACATAAGACAAAATAGGCCTACTTGTATAGCTCAGACAATCTGCTCCAATCCAGACTTTTGTTTTTCCAACCCATTGTCTCCAGTGCATCTGTCTTGCCCTATCACAGTAGATGTGTTGATCCCCTCCCCCTGAGGATGTGGCTTTCTTGGATTCAAGTAACGCACCTTGATTTATCTTTTTTGCTGAAATAATATATACAGTGGATGTTTAGGAATGATTTTCATATGTTTCCATGTCTTTGTTTAGATGGCCGACCACACTGAGGTACTAAGGGGAATCCAGAGAGCACCTCATGTCCGCGACCCAGTTTTAAGACCAAACCTACAAGGATTTCAAGATGCTGCTTCAAGAAGCAATAGATTTGGAGGTTAAGTGGAAATTTTATTGCATTTACAGCTTAAAATATATTTCTTTTATATTACAGGTTGATGCTGGTGCCACTGAAGTAGCTGTATGTGGCTCGGCATCAGAAAGCTTTAGCCAAAAAAATACAAACTGCTCTACTGATGAAAGCATGGTGAGGTTTGAGGAAGAAATTAACAACACTCTGAAGAAGCATATCCCAGTCAGACGGTTGGTATACTCTGTTATATTATATCTATGATATTTTTCTATATAAAACTTAGAATGTTTTCCTTATATGTCTGCATGGTCAGGCATATAGGGAGATTTTTGTTTATCCAACCATTGACTCCAGTGCATCTGCCTTGCCCTATCACAGGAGATGATTCGATCCCCTCCCCCTGAGGATGTGGCTGCCATAGCAACTGCTGATTCATCCCTCTACGAGAGACAATCTAATACAATTTTCTCATGCAGCAGGACCATAGATAGGACCATCCATTACTCAAACAGCACTAGCCAATTGATTTTTCTTTTCCGTACAGCGCTCTATGTAGACTCGCCTTAGGAGTACAGGAGCAGGTGTCGCTACAGCCCATCGCATCAGATGGGTAACGTGCCCAGTACAGTAAAGCACTGTCTAAGCTCCGAACAACTGCTACAGGATTACCCATGGCTGAGGAGCTGGCTACTGGAAAAGAAGGTGGGTCTTTTTTTGTGTTTGCTCAGTGCACATGGTCTGCCACATGACGTGACGCTCTCTTTAACGGAGGAGCAGATGAGCTACAAACATGGAGTATACATCCCGCTGTAGGTGGCCCAGATGAAGCTTCTACAAAAAAACAAACAAAAAAAAAAACGATAAAGAATTAAGATACATCTGAGTGATCTTCCATCTATTATCACGGTCAATTAGCTAAACACTCCCACCTAACTAACTAGCGTTAATTGACTGCACTGTATTATTCATAACATCGCCTACAATAAAACATCTACGGTAACTTACATAACAGCCCAGCTAGGTGAGTTATTAGAACCAAATGAGTCGATACCGTGTATGTACCGCAATTAATAAATGATATATGAAATCAAACTTACCGTAAAGCTCCATTTAGCAATTAGCTGCGAGTGCCCGTGTGCCTCTTTACAAATGCTAACAATAACTATAAACCTTTCACAGTAACACATTCGCTACGGTGTGGGAGAATGGTATAACAATCATAATTTATTTATTTAATAATTTAAAAAAGTATGATTCCATTATTATGGGCATAATAAATCACGCTTTAGGTTTAGTGCCCATTTTATTTTAAATCGACTTATATTTACTTAACAACCCATTCATTTTACAGAACACAACCACACAAGGATTTCCTGAACATGTGAAAATTGTGGAGGTTGGTCCAAGAGATGGACTTCAAAATGAAACAGTAAGAATACCTCTTCTCTCCTTTTTATACCACACAACGGTTGCCCTTTTCTTGGGATTTCAATGAATAAGCCATAAGGACTCAGGTATATAGGATTTACAATGGGACTAAAGGCATGGATTGTTCCATTCTCTAGCCTCTAGCCCATAGCATGCCACTGTTTGCATCTGACCTTGGCTGTGATCCAGGAAAGCTCCAAAGCATTGAATGGTTTTGAAAATATAGGCATCTGCAGAGGAGATTGCAGTAAGGGGAGATATTTTCATAGTTTCAAACTCATGTAAAAAAGTAGGACAAATTGGTTGGGTCCCAAATTGCCCCAAAGATATTGATGGCATGATTAATGGACATACGCTTTTTATTTTTAATGTCACTGTTGTGGCAAAAATTATATATCTCTTGAAGATAAATAATGAATCCATTTGCGAAGCCCGATGAGTTTTTGGAATATAGACCAAGGTTTATTCTTGTTATAGCAGATATGGACAGGGCCTAGGCCTGTTTCGGCCAAAGCTCAACAGCCTCTCACCCCTGTCTCCTCCCCTCTCTTCCCATCTCCCTCTCCAGAGCATTTGAGCTCTGAGTATTTATACAGAAATACAAGTTACATACATATCAAAGCAGAGTGACTTTGGTTTCAGAGGGTGATACTAAATTAACATACAGTTGAGGACAACAAAGGGCTTCCTGAAGGCGGAGACAGTTGTGCCTGATGAACCTTTACACATGTTAATGACTGGTCTGGGTTTCAGGTAGAAATCACATTAATTTACACAACACAGATTGAGAGAAATCTTTCCACAATCTAAATTTCTATCACAGTCACAAAATAAAATGAGTCATTTTGCTGTTGGCTCAATTTATGCAGTGGCTCAAATGCACTCTCCTCCATTGGTTTTAAGGAAGATGTTTTTCCTCTCACTGAAGATGCATTATCAGTTCTGTTTACCATGCCACTGTTTCTGTTTATAGAAAATTGTCTAATGCTTTAATAATGCCATAGAAAAATGGAGATAATTACTAATTTCAATTGTATTTCCAAGCTCAAATGTGAAAAATATGTGAAGTGTGTGCGAGTACCTCCCATACTGAGCAGTATCAAAGCCAAATCTCTGTTTCCGTTTTATTGTTCTCAGGAAATTGTTCCAACTGAGGTTAAAATCCAGCTGATAGACATGCTCTCCGGAACAGGGCTGTCAGTGATTGAGGCCACAAGCTTTGTCTCTTCAAAGTGGGTACCACAGGTAATGACCATTCTTTGTCATATAGAAAATCGTGGGAGTGAATGGCTGTCAGTGCCAGTCCCATAGCATACTATAGTATTCAAGAGAAATATAATGTAAGATGAAAATGTTATTCTTTAGTCATGTAAGGGTCACTTGCTTGTATTCAAATAACACACCTTGATTTATCTGCTGAAATATATACAGTGGATGTTTAAGGATGATTTCGGATCATATGTTTCCATGTCTTTGTTTAGATGGCCGACCACACTGAGGTACTAAGGGGAATCCAGAGAGCTCGTCATGTCCGCTACCCAGTTTTAACACCAAACCTACAAGGATTTCAAGATGCTGTAAGCAATAGATTTGGAGTTTAAGTGGAAATTTAATTGTATTTACATCTCAAAATATATTTCTTTTATATTACAGGTTGATGCTGGTGCCACTGAAGTAGCTGTATTTGGCTCGGCATCAGAAAGCTTTAGCCAAAAAATATAAACTGCTCTATTGATGAAAGCATGGTGAGATTTGAGGAAGTAATTAACAGTGCTCTGGAGAAGCATATCCCAGTCAGAGGGTTGGTATACTGTGTTATATGTATAATATTTTTCTATATAAAACTTTGAAAGTTTTCCCTATATGTCTGCATGGTCATAAACACAATTCTGTAATAACATATTTCATGAAACTGCCAGATGTTCTCTTGGTTATATCTATCCACTGGTGAACCACAAGCCCAGCTGTACATTGAAGAAAAGTCTTGGATAAAAGTTGTCTAAGCCAATGTAAATGTATGCTTTCTAAAATTAGGTTTGCCATATCTTGTCCTCGAAAGACCTGTTACGTGGAATTATTTCTGTCTGTCAAAATACATCACTACAATTACCATTTCAACTTAAAACAAAGGATTCAAATTAGGAGTTTGAATGACATATATTCAAAATCTACTTCTCTATGGTTTGTAAATATAATAATAGAAGTATGTATAAAACAGAGTGTTGTCTCTTTCAGATATGTGTCTTGTGTTCTCGGATGCCCCCATGAGGGATACATTGATCCTGCTAAAGCTGCTGAGGTGAGTCCTGAAGGTTGGAAATAAAGAATAATGTGTATTTATTATTTATGGAATCACATACTTCTTACGATATTGGTAATTTAATGTTACAAAATTTATCTGTGGATTTTTAAAAAATGGTCAGCAAGCAGCTTGTTATTTACTTTTATGTTTAAAAGGTGACTTTGTGACATTTTAGAATCTTTCAGAATCTTCATTTTTCAAATATTTGCATTAAGTACAGGGGATGGGTTGAGATGGAGGATAATGCAGTTATTATTAATTCAACCTTTTGCTGTACGTCTTCAATCTTATCGAATAGCCACACATGATAAATAGTGACCCTCAAAAATATTCTTCCAGCTGTCATATAGCTGTCTTATAGCTCTTAAAGTAATTATTGTTACAGACCTAAGTAAGCCATTGATGAGGGAACACTTACAAGGAACGCTCAAACAAGTCCGTTTTGTATAATATGTCCTCTTTAGGAAATAAAACTAGTTCTCTTATCCACTGTTCAGTCTGCAATACAAGGACTGAAAACAGTAGCAGTAGTAGGACATGAAGTATAAACCTTTGTTTTTCAGGTAGCAAGGCGCCTGTATGATCTGGGCTGCTATGAGATCTCCCTGGGCGACACCATCGGCGTGGGGACTCCAGGCTGCATGTCTAAGATGCTCCAGAGCGTGATCAAAGAAGTGCCTCCACAGGCTTTAGCAGTCCACTGCCATGACACTTACGGGCAAGCACTGGCCAACATCCTCACTGCACTACAGGTAAGAAAGAACCTGTCTCTTTGCAGCTCAACCTTTCTCACTGTTGTTTTTGTAACTTAGTATTTTAAATTTGTCAGGGTGGAGAGAGGTTTTCTGCAATGTACAGCCTAAATGCATAGCCAACATCAAAGAGCTGTCTGTGGGCATGTAGGGAGGAAGTGCCATCACTGGAAAGAAAATGGAATGCTCTGGCAGAGACACAATGAGTTACATTTCTTTCTGACACCCACATAAAAAAAAGTGTAATAAGTTCATATTGGAAATTTGAAGTAACAATAAAAATCTAGGAACTAAGACATTTCAAAGACCATTATTGATAGCTCAGATTTCACAGTTGTCAGAACATAGATTTCCCAGACTTGAATTTCTTTTTCAAAGTCTTTATCAATTTTCAACACATTTGGTATTATTATAATTTTTTTAATATTCAAAATCACTAGTTTTGCAAGTAATAATTCTAGTCATTTCTCTCTTGCCTGAATTTGTCAGATTTAATGTAATAATCTAAAAGTAATACGAACTGAAAGACCGTAATTATTTTGTCTATTGAGCAACAAGAAGTGAAACTCTCTTTGAGCACTCTAATTGAATGAAATGAGTTTAAAATTGCCCCGTGAATGTGTCCTCTGTTAAATAGAAGTGTAGGTTACTCAGAAAAAATCAATCAGGGAGTACGAGCGGCATTAAGAAACATGATCTAAGCCTTGGCTCAAAGAAAAAACTGAATCTTAATTAGCCAAAGATACAGTATTTCCAAGGGACTCTGCTTTAATGTCTTCACCAACATGCCACTCTGTTTCCCAATATATAATTAGTTTGAAAAGCTCTGTGGAGTAATTTTTTTGCTTATGTAAATTGCCATAATTCAGAGGCAATAGAGATATAGTGGTATCAGTTCTCTGGGGGCTGGGTGGGTCAGCAGATGTGAAGGGGTCAGTACAAAGGCTCACCTATCCACTGTCTGTCGGACAAAGGTGGAGGGCTGGGCCCCTGGGGTATCCTAACTCATCTGTCGCTTGGCTCTTGAACTCTGACAATGCTGCATTTAAAGTCCCCTGAAAAATGATCCTTGGGTTTTGAGTATGTGATGAACAGTGGCCAAAACTGAAGCTCTAACTACTCTGGATAGAAAAATTATGGAAGCACTTGAGTTTACAAGAGAGTAAATGTTTACACTAAACAGTTGCACATGCACTGTAAAAAATAGTGTGGGAACAGAATTAATTGTACAAGTTTTTCAAATATTCGGATTTACAACCTAATAAAACAGAAAAACAAAACAAATCTGTCTTAATGGTTAACAGGTTTGTATTCAACACGCTTCTAAGAACTAATTAGGAAATATGCAGCCTTTTTTGGAATTTGACATTAGATGATTTGTAACCTACTTACATAGACATTACAGAGTTTGAAATGGGTAATCATTTATTTCTCATTCATTGTCAACCTACAACAGCAAATTATATAAGATAAAATAATATAATAATAAATAATAATAATAGTCACATATTCTTCAGTACACAATTAAAACTTTCATTTCTTCCCAAATATGATGGGAAAACCTATTTATGTAGTTAAACTGAGCACTTATGCTATAATATACTGTTAGTCAGCGATAATAATAATAATTAAAAAAAAAGAAGCAAAATGTTGTTGTGCCAGAAGCCCACACCACCAACTGGGACACAAATGAATTCCCCCAGCGCTGTCAGACCTGAGTCACCCCTTTTGTTCCTGATGAAAACATTCCTGGCTCTTTGTACCTTTTGCTTTTTTCTCAGGAGGTCTGGGGTCTCCTGGCAGCTCACACAATGACCATGTATGTGCTTAGATTACACCGGCTTGGCAAGGAAAATTGTTTACTTTTACATGCAATTTTAGTGCATTGTGCAGTGGTGCAGCTGGGGATTACAGGCAGACTTGTTTGTTGCTTCTCATCTGTCTGACTTTTGAAGCTTTTGCAACTTGAAGCGCAACTTATGTTGAATTATGCAGTTCATGACTGTCGGCTGTAGCTGAGAAAACTTATGGAGTGAAGTTAGTCAGTAAATAATATACAGTACTTTATTTATTTACAAGCTTAGTTGGTTTATACAGAATCTTTCAGAAATGCATTTTCGACATGTATATATCTTTCTTATCTACATTTATTAGGAAAAAATATATACACCTGATCCTTATAGACTGCACTATGTTACTCTATGTATTCATAGTTTGAAGAAAAATGAAATGCGGTAAAAGTTGTTAAAACACTGTTAGTTTACTTAGCTGCAGCTGGCTGTAAGTTCCTGGTAACACGTTGTATATGTGTCAGCAGTGGCTGTGTGACATTTTCTTTGGTTTCGAGTCTAAACTTGAGTTTATGTAGCACTCAGCAGAGCATCAGTCCTATAGTGAATACAGGCTTTCTCCCCCTCTCTCTCTGACGCAGTCTTAAGGCCAAAATGGGAGCATGTCCATCGTACGGCCTGTATAGAATGTCATTGGGCTTATCCCTAATCTAGACTATTACAAAATACACTGTGTCTTTACCCAGGAATGCATTGTTTTTACTAAAGCCACAGCCTGACTATGACATTTTAACAGTAAGCACAGGCACATCTGGTTTCTGGGCAATGTGAAGCTAACTGAGCATTGGCGAGCTAAGGCGGCCAACCACCAGTTCCTGTGCGATTAGCCCAGAGGAGCGAGGCACACGGCCGAAGGGATTATTCAGGTCCTCCAGGAAGCCGTACGCAGAAGACCCCTGATCTCCCCTGGTTAGCACCTGAAAGTGAGAAGACCGGCATTGCAGATTACAAGCCACTATTTATAAAACAAAAAAGCCTGCCTAATACAATATCCTGCACAAGCTCTGACCAAGGTCTGGAAATCTTGTGCACGACCGGAGTTAGATCCCCTCGCTTCCACTCCACCTCCTGCTCGCGCCCCTGCCAACACAAACACCAATTATGACTGGCTCGCACACTGGCTCTTGAAAGAAACAGGCCCTTGTATTGGAGAAACTAATTAACAGCATTGTTCATAATTAAGTTTTCCTCTTTTATCACTTTTGTAGTGTTGTTGAAGGAGTTCAAATTGAAACCAGAATGCGTGTTAATTATGTCTCACAGTGGGATCCTCTGACATCTGGCTCCACCATAGAAGCTGGAAAACATCTTCATATTCTCATGACAATCCTTGGGACATGTGGAAAACATCCCCAGTCTTTCATCTGTAATGACTCTTTAGTCTGGTGTGAAAACATCCAATCAGGTCTTTTGAGACAACTGTGGCTTTTCTTTAATGTTATATGCCTGTAAGCTGTTTTAAAGTATATTTAGCATCAGTTATTGGGGTGAATTAAATGATACAATAAAGCAAAGTAAAGAGTACAGTCAGGCCTGTCAAAATTATTACTATATGGACTCATCGTTCTTTGAGTAGTGAGAAATTTTTTGTTATTTTTAGAAAACATTGTAGAAACTGTTTCAAGGGAATTCTCCTGCTTTATGGTTATTTTGTCAATAGCGTAAAGTAGTTTATTTATTATTTATATAATTTATGATTTATTATAAAATTTTTATGTTGCAATATATCACACAAAAGCTGTTATTGTGAGAAGCATAAATCATTGTACAAGTGCTATTCAAGGTTCAAGTAGTGGAAAGGCCATTTTGATTGGAAACAGCCAAAGTAAATTGTATTAAATGTCCTCACACAAGGCCTGACTCTGGGCACAATGAACTCTCAGAATATTTTAATCAAAAACATCCCTCAGATAGTTTATGACAGCCATAATTGTCATATTCAGCAGCACCTGCACTTTTCTCTTGTATACAATTCCCATATTGTTGGCGTGATGTAACAAGATACTACCAGCCAGCAAAGGGAAAAATGTCAACCCAGTGTGGTAAGAAAGTGAATCCCCCATGGTTAAGAGCGAGGTAGTGCTGTAATAACATCAGTAAGCAGTAGAATCAGAAACATATGAAAAGCTCTCCCTAATGCACTATTCATATGGACATGGCCATAATTAGACTAGTGGTTTTAGCTGACAAAGACGATGACTAAGACTTATACTGTGGGACATTCTGTGCCCACTCATCTTTATAAACACGACCGCAGCCTTGGCACTACAATCTGACTGAATAGTGATCCCCATGTGTTGAAGTTGTGTATGTGTTCATAGATGGGGGTGAGTGTGGTGGACTCGGCAGTGGCTGGTCTGGGAGGGTGCCCGTATGCTCAGGGTTCATCTGGAAATGTCTCAACAGAGGATGTTCTCTACATGCTCCACGGCATGGGCATTGAAACAGTAAGTGCGCTACATTGTGCCCTTTGAGACACTGGGTATAATTTATGGATTAAGCAAAGACTACTGTTTAGGCCAAGCAATATAATCACTTCCATCCATTTACATAAACACACCACTCTGCAAACATACAGGTCTGTTATGTTTATTTTGTAATATCAGGGGATGGAGGTCTGTGGTCAGAGTATCCCACAGCATAACGTGGGCCCTTTCAGAGCAATTTATTTAACAATCTCTACCCCTGCTGGCCAGAACACTTTACTGCAACCTTTTAATATGCAGTTGTAGGACTGTGCAAATAATCAAATGTAAATTGTCTAATCATCAATAGCATGCTTGGGTCATTTTAATTAAGAGGTCCGCAGCTAATCCTCTGTCAGTTAAAACAGGTTTTAGAAATGAATTTGGAATTGGAGGAAGGCATTTGAATTTGTTAATAAATAACATTAATTAAAAGTCTGCATTGCTTAGATTTAGAAATAGCAAAAAATTTGACAAATTTATTTCTCACATTGTCAAGCCCCATATGGCTGCGAGAATACCATCTCTAGTAGCAGTGCTGTAAAAATAGCCAATAGATAATAATAGTGGTATATAGTAGTAAATAGATTCCCTAACAATATAATGGCTTCCTGTTTGATAATAGTCTTTATTCTTACACCTTTAAATTTGCGCTGCAGGGGCTCAGCTTTTGGGTCAGACCACTTTGGCCAGACAACAGTTTGGAGATGCTCTTTTTTATATCACAAGTTCCTCATTTTTAATTGAGTTAAAATCATATACTTTTCTCAGCTTCAAACATGTATTTAAAGACAAAATGTTTCTGATATACAGTCAGTCAAGTAATTCATTACATTTTACATAATAAGAGAAAAAAGATATGGAACACTGACTTCACCTGAGAATTTGTAATATTATTCTTTTTTATTTATTCTTATATATGGTTGTGATTGTATTTTTAGGGAGTGAGTCTTCCTAAGGTGGTCGAGGTTGGTGAATTCATCTGCACCGCTTTGCATCGCCAAACAAACTCAAAGGTTGCCCGAGCCCAGTCTAGGAAGTTGTGATGTATTAAACATATTCTTGTCTCTTCTTAAGTGCTTCCCTGACTGTAGCTGCCTTTAAATCTGTGTCCTATGCTGCCGTACCTCTACTATGCTGTGTCCTTTCACGCCTCCTTATACTAAGAATCTTCATCTTGAGTTACCTGTTGGTAAAAACATTTATTTTGTAATTATTCATTGTATTCTGAATGTGGAAAAAAGTATCTGTATCCATATATTTAAAAATATATTTATTTATTATAGATCAAGAATGGTAAAGCAATCATGATCATTTCCTTATGGTAAGTAAATGTTAACATTTTAATGTTTATTATTTAATGATTATTGTGAGAAGAAACAATGGTTTTATAATTATTTACTATCATAATTTGAGAACACAACCAAACAGTGGTGGATTTTATTTCCTCTGTTGTTTTCTTTCATTTTCATTTCTCTAGTATCTGACCAGCTGTTTCTGAATGATAAAGTATAAATGATAAAGTTTATGTGACATAAATAGCCACAGAAAGCACTTTACATGTATGTTTATTTTATACAGATTAAATTGAAACTACTTATTTTTGCTTCTACAAAGTGTTTTTTAGTTTTTAAAGTTATATTTGATGAATAATTCATCTTGGCAAGCCTACACATAGTAGAACCCAAGAGCTATTTTAAATTCTCTCCTGAATTCTGGTTCTTCTCTCTTGAAAGTGTCTTAATGACATTTTATTGCCAGCAGCATTCACAGAAAGGGTTGTATGGGTAACAGTTTAAAAGCCACCGCCTGATTCACGTTTGCCAAAGAAGTGCTCTTCCCTTTCAGACGTTAAAACACGGAAATACAAAATATGCTATTTTTCTAAATTTGTGTGGTTGTTATGATCCTTTTTTTCTTCCATTACCAAATAAAAAGGGAAATCTTGAGCTGCCTTTGGTATTTTTTAAAACAAAATACACATACAACTGGAAAACCTTTCACAAAATCACAATTAGAGCTTATATAATATGTGTGGTTATCTGACATCTGGACAAGTCATTGATACAATTCTGTATTGAAGTATAAGGCCTTATGCAAATGGTAATGTCATACAAGTGATTTGTATGTAATCTGTGTGTAAGCTCAAAACATTTACTTTGTGATCTCAAACAAAATTGGTAGACTTGATAGATACTGACCCCAGGTGACCAACTTTTCGAAATTTGGGAAATTCTCTGAGTAAGTTGTCTCACTGGTGCCAGTCTGTCACGTAGCTTAGTAATGACACTGTTTCAGATAAGTATCCTAAACTATGTGAGGAACTTTAACAATGACTTACGTCAAACTTTGTCAAGAAGCATAAATGGAATTAACTGTGTCCCTAAACAACTTTAGTACGGAAAGTAACTCCTTGAAAAGTAATTCACCATGTTGATGTTTTGGAAGCTTCATTGTTGATTTGTGACTCCTGCATTATGTTATTTTAAGAGAGCGGGGGATTCAGATGGGGTTAAATGTGTGTTCAAGTGTGCCCATACAAAGACAAAATCGAGCAGACAAGTGGGTATTAGCAAACGACTCAAGACTCAAGACTGGAGCCAATCAAGAACACTCAAGAGCTCAAAATAACACGCCAAGTGCTGTCATAACAATCAAAGTATAATGGTAGACTGAAGCTGCCTCATGTTGTGAGTCGAGTCTGTCAGATGATAAAACAAGGCAATTGAAGTCTTCTTGCCCTGTATCTAAAAACATCAGAAAAATCATGGTCTAACCTTTCTGATCACATACTTGCATCTCACTGATCAAGCTGAAATATAATTGTTTTTTTCTTTGTCTAAAATGTCCTCTGCAACTCTCGCTTTTGTCAACTATTAAACAGAGAAATAAAATGTTTTGTTCAAAGCAATGTTTAATGTCAGAACAGGGTGAAAAAAATTGATGAGAATAGAGACAAAATGAAGTGTGAGAGGCTAAGTACTGTTCTGTCTCACTGTATTGATCCATGCAGGCCTCAAATCAATGAAAGAGGTGCATCTCAAACTAGATTTTTTTCCTTCTTTTTTCACTCAGTCTTGCCCTTTTTAGACTCATTCATTACTGAGTTGATTTGAGCTGGGCTGGGTGTTATATACCTATGACTCAGATGATACAAGACAGCTGTTGTTGTTAGAAATGAAAACATTGATTTCAGAGAATAACAGTGTGGCTTTTCTGAAAAGAGTGCAGCTTATTTTCTTTCTGTCTCCTTGCCAACCTGCAAGATAAAGAAGAACAACTTTTAAGATTGCATTGCACTGTCAAATGGACACTGGTCACTTCTACACTGTACTGCCATAATATCAATAGGTGGACAAACCTCCTTGAGATCTCAAAAGCTAAGCAAAGCTGGCCCTGGTTAGTACTTGGATAGGAGAGTGCTGGGAAAATCAGAGGCCACAGTGGCCTGCCAGTATCAAAAACTGTTGTTGTGTCCTTGAACAAGACACTTCACTTCACTTCAGTATGAAAGCAGTGTGACTGCTGGAGGGGCCAATGGTGCGGATTGGATTCACTTCTGTCAGACTGCCTCAGGGCAGCTGTGGCTACAGTAGTAGCTTACTACTAACAGGTATGGAATGAATGAATAATGCACTAAATTGTAAAGCAACTTAGAGCATCCAGAAAAGTGCTAAATAAGACTAATTATTATAGGGAGATAGATTGATTTTTTAACATGTAGTTGATTTAGCAAACCCACTTACATTAATTTAACTGATACAAAGTCTATAGTAGTGCCTTGTGGTTAAACTTGACAAACATTAAAATTATTTTTATACTTTCCAAAAGTGTATAATAAACTGTATAAAGACTGGTTTTAGTAAAAGCTGAATCACATACATTGACTACATACTCACCATAATATAATTGCAATCACCAAAACAGTGATGCCCATGAGAAGCACACAGGCAAACCCCGACAGGAGCAAATCTAACAAAACAGCATTTATCATGAGTCAACAATAAAGACTAAAAAAAGAGAGAGATTTGAAATAAATTTTACCACTAAAGTAAAAAAGAACGTCTTCTGATCGTGAAGGGGGTTTGGTAGGAGCGTAGTTGTCCTTCCACTCTTGAACTAAACACATTTGAACAAAATACAAACTTTTACAGAGCAGTGGTAGAGAAATATCTTTTGAATGAGAATACTACTGACCGAAGACAGTCCTGTTGTGGAAGACCTCATGAATCATAGCACACATCTGCAGGTCAGGGCCCAACAGTCCCTCACAAGAGCAGGGGTAATGAAGTGCAGTACCCACAGTGTCTAAAAAGGCTGTTTGACATTCAGACTCTGCTCCCAGGATGAGAGATGGGTTCATCTGACTCAAGCACTCCTGTGTGTGGGGGGCTTCCAGGCACTGAGGGTCCCCAGAGCTCCAGCATTTCCACTGAAAAACACTAAGCCGCCTTCTGCAAGCACAGTAACAGTGTATTCATGCACTTAGAATAACAATGTACGTAAACCTGTTATATATACAATAATACAACCATATAGAGGACTGAATGGAAATTAAATCAATTTATTCTATTACTTATTCTACACAATGTTTCTGGTGGAATGTTTGCTACTTGTTTGTAGCTGTTTTGCCCAGAATGTTATGGCATTTTGTAGGTTTGCCTGTTTTTCAATGTAGTTTTTAGTCAATAAAAACATGTGTACTTGAATAAATCAAGATCTATGAGTATAAAGAGACAGCAAGTCGTGGATCCTCTATCCAAACAGTTACATGGTGCACCTTTAAAACTAAATAGAATACAATTTGTTCTCAACTTCACCTCGTTACGTCAGATTTCTTACAAACAACAAACTTGACAGCTCAAGTTTGAAACTGGAATACTAATCCATCTGGCTCCATTGAAGCCAATCATTTCACCTCACCAGACTGGTCCACTAAGTTTTTCAATTATCTTGAGTCTAGTAAACAACCTAAAATAGTTTTCATTCCCAGTGTATTGCACCTGGATGTTTGGTACCTGCAGCCTCGGTCCCTGGTGCACTGTGTGACTGTGTGCAGGCAATTTGTTCTTTGTGTCCCACATGAGCTGCTGTATAGGGCAGAGCTCATCCCTCCACACGCCTCATCTGAGTCTGGACACTGGCACATAACCAACATTCGGGCCACGCTGGGAGGCATCGCCCTGAAGAAACCCGCCGTGGCTCTTTGGCATCTGTGCGGCTCACAGTTTGGCTCCTTACAGTCCTGCAGAACTGGAGTCATCCGCCTGTTGCAGACTGCATCTCCAAGACAACGACTTATGCTGTCCAGACAGGGTCTTGAGGTGTCCTCAACTACAGCATAAGGCACATTTTAAATCTTTATTGCTCTATTTATTGCTTTATTGCTCTGTCAAATTTGATACCAGTAGGTGTGATACACTGAAGAATAGAAGAATGTTTGGATCACAAAGTTTTTTAAGATTTCTAAAGCCTTGTCCAGGTGAATCCTTTGCTACACATACAGTGTGCACTGCAGGAAACATGTAAGAATCTGAGCAATTGTTACAATCTAATTATAGTGATAGATGGCTGTGTCTAAATATTTTCAAAACTGTGGCTCTTTGTACAATGTTCCTGGTCTATTGTAGTCCTTATCTAGAATAAAGCAGGTCAGTGGAAGAACATATTGTTTGATTTTCCATGATGGTGACCATAATGTTATAATAATAGAAATAATTAAAAAATAATACCCAAGTCCAGTAATGTGCTCGATTGCCAGTCGTTGTCAGAGCTTCTCTGTCTTTGAGCTGCTGCACAGATAAACACAATCTAATAAACCCATCTCAAGCAAATGCAAATCCATTTGCTGCACAGAGCATTGGCCCCATTCATGCGATCTCTTTGGTAAACACAAACACCATTTCATCTCTGAATGCCCATCCACACAACAGTGAGAAGACTGCACCTGTCTTTTCATGGCATTGTGTTAGCAGTGCTGGTATAGAAGCGCACAGTGCAGCCTCTTGCTCACACACACATGGTCTGAGGGCGGGGAACAGCTCCAGGACACTGGCCAGGCTCAGGTTACACACAGACCAGTCTTTCATTTGGCACCCGTCAGCTGAAATCACAAAAACAGGATTTCCCCAAAGCCTGTCAGCCAGCAGGAGACAGGTGTTTCACATGCACCTGTAGCTGAGAGTTCTCGTGGTATTTCACTGGGCTTTATCATTTACACCATCTACTAATGAAACACTCTATAACAAATATCTCTGTGGAACTAAAATACTGTATATGCAGGTTTTGTGTTGTTTCATCTTGTGCAAAATAATAATTTTTCAATCATGTTCTGGTTTACATATGAACAATTGTACAATTGGAAAGTTTTGAATAGATAATAGATGTGTAATTGGTTATTTGCCAAAGATGACAAAATCAGCCCCCCGTTTCTCACCTTAAAATATCTCATGTCATTGTCCAATTTCCTCATTATCCCCCCATGTGTGGACTCTGCTGCTGGCTATTGGCCTGTTATTACATTGAAGCAGTGGGCTGAGAAGCAGAATCCAATTGAGACTATTTGTGGTATTCTGTTACACAAGTAGTTCAATTATATAACAATTTTTTTTTTTTAAATGAGCAAGAAGAAAATATTTTTTTTACCATTTTCCTCACAGAAGATTCCTGTTGTTTTAGCCAAGCATAAATCAGACATGCAGAGCTCCACAGTTGACAAACAGGGAGGAGTGGGATGAGAGAGAGAACAGATTTGAGGCAGAGCAAAACCTAAAATAAAAACATAAACATACAGATTATAATGAAACAATCTATGCCATTGATAGTTAGCCAGTGTTAAATTTGACAACATATTTACTTGCAGTATCTGGAAAAATATAAAGTTTGTGTGACATGAGATATGCACAATGTAACTTTCCTGATGGTATTAAAGTTAACTATTTAATTTGTAGGCCTCTCCACAGATTTAACCTTGTCTCCATGAAATTTTATGGCATAAACTGGTAAACATTCCAGCCAAAGCAAATGCAAAGCAATATGCTCTCCTAAAAGCATGTATTCATGGATTTCAAGCGTGAGCATTCTTTTCTGATTTGAAGGATTTGGCTTGGCAACGACCCTCCATTGTTACCACAATAATGCATTTCAAATCAAATATTATATCTTGAATGAGGAAAGGTCTTCACAAAATCCATCAAACCAAGAAGGAATAATTTTCCTGAAACCCATAAATGCATAGTATCAAAAAAAAAAAAAAAAGATCAGGGCACAAAAAAAAATAAAATAAAATAAATATTTGAAACACAATAATTATATAACATTCTTAATAAATCTTTAAAATGAAATATACACTTACCAAATATCAGTACTGCTCCCAGCCATGTTGTTTTCATGTTGGCAGGTACACTTGGATCCAGCTTGTCGACTGTGCTGTGCTTTGTCCTTCTGTCTTTAAATGAGATCTACCTCCAGTCCCTCCCCACACCCACCAACACAAACATAAACTCAATATTGCCTTTAACACATATTGGCTGTATGATCCACTGAGTCCATAGCACAGGAAATGCCAGTGTTTTGCCTGGTGTAACAGTATGGTCCTATGGTTGGATTTGGGAGATCCATAGACAGATGGTAACCAAGAATCCTATTTTTTTTCTTGTAGGAGTACTGTTATAGTACTCAAGTAAAAGTACAAAGTAGTGGTCCAAGAACTCTAGTAAGAGTATGGTTAGGATATTTAGGAGTAAAAGTATGGCGTCTTGAAAACTACTCTCAAATTTTTTTAAAGTAAATGTACTGTAGAGCAAATGTGACTAAGTACCACCCTTAAAAAGGAGATGCGCAAGATGTAGTAAAATTAATTTAATTGCCTACTGGATTTGACCCATCCTTCAGTGCTGCTGGGATCTGTGAGGAGCAATACAACACTTGAGGACCCAGATTATGACCCAGTTTTTGGTCAGGACTATACCTTTAGAGGAGGATTAGCCTATTATGCATGCTTTGGGATCATGAAAAAACAAGACTGCCTAAAAAAAATCATTCAGGCACAAGGAAAATATGCAAACTCCACACAAAAATACCACAGAACTGTTCACAATGTGTATGGTGTTCTGCAAGCTATGCGTATCCTTATGTTTATGATTCTTGTTGTTTGAGTCATCTGTTCAAGGTAAATGCACAATAGCAGCTGCACTGGATGCCATCAATGTGTATTTTTGTCATTGAGCAAAAATGTTCCTTAAACCACTAGAAAAATACATGAAATACCACATGGAACATTCCTATTTGCTTTTGGGTGAAAGTGATAAAGGTAAATGTAAAGAATTAATGTTATGAATAAATGAACTATTGTTATGAAATAAACAGTGGGAGGATGTACTGAGCCACTAGTGGTATAACCAAAACACAAGGTACATGAAGAAAAATTTTAAGTGCATGGGATAAACCAGAATGATGTTGAAAAGTGACACAAACCAAAGCAATAGGATTTACAGAAGATCATCTTGCCAGTTGGAAAACAGGTAAACTTGAATATTTGTGAGATTAAGCTGACACTGGTCCTCTCCATTACCCCAACAGTTAAAGAATTCAAATCAAATGCTGATTATCTAATTAATGGGAAACATCCTCACAAAATGTTATATGTAAGGATAGGAAATCTTTTGAATCTTTTGCCTGAAACTTCTAAATGGAATATGTGGAAAAGACTTGAAATGCCAGTTGCATTTACTGTCTAACAAAAGCCTGCTGTACAGGAGTTAACCGCAGAAGACACAAGAGAACTACGATAAATTACATTTTCTTGGTGCAAAGTATTTTTATGCAAAGTTGCCCTAACAAGTTGCAAGTGTGTCAATTGTCAATCTGTATATGTATAGTATATCACATGAGAAAATAAATCTAACATCTGTTGAGTTATGCGGGAGTTGTGTTTTGGTTAGTCCAGTGACTTCAGTTTTGCTTCTAAAATAAATCAAATCAATCAAAGAGTGAAAATATAAAACATACCTGTGATTTGATTCTGTAATCATTTTTAATAGTTGTTCGTGAAACATGACTTAATCCAGTTTAAGGACTGGACAGTTCCACAAAAAATATTTTCTCTGGCCACAAGGGGTCAGCAAAAGATGACTTCCTAATTTTCTTAATTACAGATAAACAGCATTATAATGAGTCTGAGTGGTTCTCATTAACACCACCCCCACCTTTATGCCAAGGTTATACTTCATAACAGGAAACATTAACAATAAGAAGAAAATGATAACGAGTATATATATATATATATATATATATATATATATATATATATATATATATATATATATATATATATGTCTGCACAAGCCAAACAAACAAAACAGTCATCAAACATTTATTTAAGTTGACAAAATCAACAAAACAACAAAACAACACAACAAATTGGCCTTCAGTCTCTTCTTCTGTGCAGGACCATCTGGGCCCACTGGAGGAGCAAACCAATTACTGTATAAACAAACACATCAGCATTATTCCCCAAAGAGGAAACCCTAAAGAAGCACAAAACTGTAAATAGTCAGATTAATACAGCTGGAGGCTATCCTCTGATTGGAGTGTATTTTCTTTTAATCCACTTAATAGCCTACAATGACATGATGTAAAGTACCATTCACACTGACTGTATGAATACTATTTATATGTTTGGAGCCAAGGGCCTATAGAAAACTGAGTTGCTATATACCTATACATAATGTGTGTAACTGATGTCTCTGAGCATATAGTAGTACAGGTTAGAGGATGCTGGGAAGTGGATATCTTTGCACCGCATCCTCAGTATGGAGCCTTAGGCAGTTTGGATGAAATCACATTCAACTTTAAACCTATATTCAATACACACAATACTTCACATTTCATTCCTCTGAAGTCCACAGTGAAAGCCAAACAACATTGCCTGCCCCTAGGACGCGGTCTCCTGCAGGCACCTTCATGCATAAGAGCCCGAGCACAGGGCGTATGTGTTTGTATAGTTTTATTTGTACTCCTGCTGCTGACACTGGGCATGTTTTCTGACCTTTTAATAAGGGCAAGATGTTTCCTCAAGGAGGTAGTCTCTGTCACTGTCCAATCACTTATAACCTTTTGGAGTCTCCCTTTTGAAGTGGTCACAGAAAATGATCTGTCTCTAACTATGCAGTGGATTGAATGTGCATGGGTTACATGGTCATGAAAAATTATGACTGTCATCCTAGCTAATAACATAACAAACAAAATATTCAATTCTTTGAATATTCCTCAAAGTGGTCACAATAACAGGAAACTAAAATTCATTTATAGACTAGAGTATAAGCATTTGAGATCTAATACTTTTCTGGACACAATCCTCTAAGTCTTTTCAGGCTTGGGGTGAGAAAAACATGGTGTTTCAAAAAAAAAAAAAAAAAAAAAAAAAAAAAAAAAAAAATAATATATATATATATATATATATATATATATATATATATATATATATATATATATATATATATATATATATATATATGTATATATATATATATGTATATACATACACACTCACACACATCTCAGGCCCTCTTTTAGAGCACTGAAGTGTGATTTTCATGTCTTGTGTGCTGCTCTCATGGACAGTGTTTGAACGATGCACATGATTAGTGGTTAGGCCAAAGGCTGCTGCTGTCAGTGGATGTGATTGACAGCTATTCCCATCTTAAAGCTGCCTTTATTGACTTGAGTCCCTAAAGCACCACAGTACACTTTGAAAATCATGACTGAGTTATAATATTCCTAAATGCAGCCTTGATTGTGTTTTCCAAGAGCATTTCTTAAAAACACTGGACATTAGTATTAGTCTTTTCAGCACCACTGAAAAACTATCATTTCTTAAGACACATTCATGCGGTGAATTTTTATAATTGTGGTGACCGAATGTTTTTGACCATTCTTCAAACATTGCTGTTGTTACACACACAAAAAATACTAACTTTTGTAAAAATATTACAGTACATAATCCAAAAGCAGGCAATATTTTACAGAACAAACAATTAAGAACAATTACATCTTCACCTGTGCAAATAATACATCTGATGATTGAACATCTTTAACAAATATGGTCTTCTGAGGTAAACTATTAGTTTTGTAATCTTTACATTTCTTCTGTTGTACAAATTTGTGCTATTGTCCTTATGGCAAAATGTTCTATTTTTCTTCAGTATCATTTGGTCCATAATCAGGACAGTGGTTGACAGCAAGCAATCCTAGTCCAGAGTAACAGGGGTGGATGATGCTACAACAAAGTAGTTTTCTTAGAGCTAAATCAATAGCTGGGCTCATAGAGGTTGATGGCAGATGGTGCTGCATAGAGTTGCATTAAACAGAAAATCAGTGAATAATGTAATGATCTCTCTTGATTAGACTAGATTAGAGAGATTATATTTAAATGTCTATCATTGCACCACCCATCCCTGGTACCTAAACAATCAGCCTATTGAAAGTAACTGGTAGACAATGCTTTTCTACTCGCACAGTGGAGCACCCAGGGATTGACCAGAAGATTGTTCACGAAAAGGAGGAATTGGACGTTTTGCATGTCCACTGGACCTTCTGTCTGTGTGACCAAACCATGTCCAATGAGAAAAAACAAAACTGAGAGAAAAGTATGGCAGTAAAATGTAACACAGAGTCTAGACTATCTGGTCAGATATGCGAGACACACTGTCCATGTTGTGGACTTGTGTGGACAGGGACTTTCTGCTGTCTGTGCTGGCTCTCGTCCGGATCTTCTGAGACCGAGTCTGATTCTGTCCGCACCAGTGGCAGGTGAAGGCGGCTTTGAACTCTTCACGGAATTTACCTGCAGGAGCAAAAACAATACTATAACAAAGACAGTCTTAGTTTTAAATTAATATTTTATAAAAATCTTTAATAAAATGTATTTAATAAAATATACAGCACATCATATAAAACAAATAATAATAACTTAGTATGCAAGCACAAAAACACAACAATTGGCTATAAACTAAGCAGACTACAATCCATTCTAAATTAAAGCTATTGCTTCCAGTGGACATGAGCAATCATGTCTGAGCAGGTGTATTGAAAGTTCAAGTGTTTGAGGAGAGAATGAGTTGGCTCTGACAATAGAGAGAAAATGAGTGTGACGTGCTGTTTTGGTGCCAGGATGCTGTAATTGCAATGTTTATTTATGAAATGAAAGCATCAAAAAGTATATATATAGTATACCAAACTACTCCCACGCATTGAAAGCTAATTTCACTCCTCATTATAAAATTAAGATGCCTACAATAGCATAGATTTGGGGGAAAATTAAAATATGCAAAGTAGAGATGGGTCTAAGCTACAGCTTGAATGACTTCAAAAAGTTCTACATCTTTGTACAGAGGCACCCAATGTAAAATTCCTTTGGGTTTTTCCATTTCCTAACAATTAGAATTTTCACAATTGCACTTTTATTCATTCTTTTGATTGTTTGTATTCAATTGTAAAACAAATGGGTAAGAAATGGCTTTAATTGCCTGTCTTTGTTTGTAGGGTATGTCTGCTCTTCAAATCAATGTATCCTTGAATAACTCAGGCAAAACTGATGTGCTTCTTTGTAATTTCCCTGCAGACACGATTTTCTTATTGACATAAAAGCTGTTTGTGCTTGACATGTTGTTTTGCACACCTGATTCACACATCAGACTCTTACCACTGAGAAAATTGTAGATGATGGGATTGGCTGCGCTGTTGGCATAAATGAGCCAGTGTGAGAAGGTGAACCAGGCATAGACAGTCTCCCGATCGTTGGAATTCTTAAATGTCCCAAAAACCCTGACAAGAAATAAAAACATGAGTTACTTTTTAATGTAATCCTCACCCCCCGGGTGGGCTAGACTGCACCTTTCTATACAGAGTTTGCATGTTCTCTCTGTGGGTATGTGGGTTTCCTCTAGGCGCTCTGGTCGCCCCCATTAATCCAGAACATACAGCATAGGTGAGTACCAGAGCGCTGTACCCACTGCTAGTGATGTGTTAGACTTAGACTTAAACAAACTTTATTGATACACAAGGGAAATTACTTGGACACAGTAGCTCACACATCATATTATATTATAATAAAAAAGAGTAAAAAATATAAAAGGTAATAATAAATTCTAAAGAAGTAGCAAAAAAAATAAATAAATAAAATAGCAAGAGACTGGCATCAAATAAGGTATAATTATATAAATGTACATATACAAGTAAAAATAAAATTGAAAAATAAGTATCAAGTGAAGAGATCATAAGGAAAACAGTGCAAAGATTATATGAAGATTGACAGGACACATGGTTATCTGTTACATAATGGTGAATTGTATGAAGTAAAGTGGTGTTGAGGTTGTGTTGACCCAACGGCACTGAAGGATGGGTCAAATGCAGAGACTGACTGGCAGATATCTCTCTGAACTATATTAAATAGATGAATAGATTTTAGGGGAGTGGCTTTAAGGATAAGCCTCTTTGAGTTTCTGTCACACTCCATCATGCTTGCACTGTATTGTATTTCGTTTTTAACTTTTGTAGCAAAGGAAAATAGATTTCGATCACCTGGATGAGAGTGAATCAATTTACTCTTCAAAACTTTTATTCAGCTGACAGATTTAAATTATCTTTCGCTACAGACCTCAACGACTAAAGCCTTACTCAGCTATAAAGTTCTGAAATTATTATGGGACAGTAATGAGTACATAAATGAGATCATTTGGATAGGAGCCCCTCACCTCTTCATGATGTTGAGCACACTGATGGGCAGGTAGCAGAGTGCAAATACAAACAGCACCACCATGAGCATGCGTGCAGTCTTGCGTCTGGCTCGGACCTGTTTGATCTCGGCACACACTGTGCTGGTGCGGACCCTCACAGACTCTCCGGACGCCGCCCCCGGAGACGAGCACTGAAACGTCTTAAATTTCCTGTGCAACACCGATGTGCTCCCAGGAATCTAAGGAGGAATCATTGTTTTATGAATCATTCATTAGGTTAGTTTGTTAATTCAGATATGAGACAAAATTTAAATATAATATAAATTCAAATCGCAGAATTAGACACATAAAGCAACATGACACACATCCTAATTACACAACCTCGTATTCTTTGTATTTATTATAATAGCATCCTACAAAATGAAACACCATGTGTAATAACAGGGTGTAGAGAATATTAATACATAAATAGTAGTAGCAAAAAGTAACAATATTTCCTATATATTTCCTACTGCACCTGCCTGCTACTTGTGCCTCTAAACAAATCAAAATGAATGAATAAATTATTAATTTAAAGGTTCTATAATACACAAAATTTACTCCTGTGAGCTTTCAGCCATGTTATAATGTTACGTCATCAAAAACATACCTGCATTATTAGTCTGTCTAATCTCTAAAGCTCAAAATGCTCTGTTCCACTTGTTTTTGTTGTTTTATATTTGTAGTTTTCAAGTTAACAACTACCTTTTACCTTTTGTTCAGTAGAGACTGACAATTCCAGGGCTGTCTGTCTGCTATTTTATAATCTATATCTTAGCTTTTCTTCATGTGAGAATGATTTTAATTGTCTTTGTAAAGCACTTTGTTAACATGTATGAGAAAAAGTGTTTTATGAATAAAATATGATGTACTGGCTGGACTAATCTGTCATCTTCCCTGCTCATATTACTGACATATCTGTCTCTGTTTAGTAACTTATCTCATTTGTCTTTGTCTAGTGAAATCTCTCGAGGTTGGATTTTGTCGTACTCACCTGCTGGCACCAGAGTTTGTGACAGATCTGGATATAGGCCAGGACCATCAGACACAGTGGCGCAAAGTAAGTGACAATGAAGAAACAGGTATGGTAGACTTTGGGGTAGATATCCGCTGTAGAGAAAAGACATTAATTGCATCAGAATCAAAGCAATATTGTACAGTTATTGTGCAAAATTCTGTCCTAATAGAATCCAAATAGAACTAATTCAGAGTTAATCTAGTTTAAACTTCATGTGCCGATAAATCCACTTAAGATGTTTAATTAGTGTCTAAAGGTGAGTTTCCCTTTTGGTCTCCTCTGCCAGGCTAATCTTCTGTCTCATTCAGGCTGCTTTATTCACCCTCTCCTTTGCTCTAAAACAGCCTCTCATGTTTAATAAATCTAACTCTTGCTCAGAAGTGCAAGTAAAAAGGCTTTTCCAACTCACTAACAGCCTTTGACAGCCACAGTAAAGGAATACCCATTCATTTGGCTGGAGTAATCATTATACAAACTGCTATCAGAAGAAAACTAACTAATTTTATATCTCTATTAATATTCTCACTGAGAATGGGGTTTATGTGTCTCATTTGGACTACACTCGTCATACTAGTGTTAATAGCACTGGTTTGGACATGTTTTTTTCCCCATCTGAGCAATGATGCAACTAGTTACGTGGAAATGGGTCATTCCATTCAGGATCAATGTAATGGTGTTAAATTGTTCTGTTGTGCAATATCTTTAAAAATTCTCTTGGTACATCTAAAAAAAAATAAAGCTTTTGAAACTTAGAAAAGATAATAACAGGGAACTGTCAAATTTGACTTCAATATTAAGGAATAAGACTGTAAGTACATATAACTGGATATAGGTAATCCGCTAGCTTCTCTGTTCCAAACAGAAAGTGAGCACGGAGGTGCTTCTGGTTCCATCAACTCTGATCCAATTAACATTATATTCAAATATTGTCAGCCCTCTCTCTGTAACTGCTGCAAAGAGCCTTTGAGTCATTTTGTTTTAAAAATGTTTGTATTAACCCACTCTACATGATCCTGGTGTTTTTATTTTGTTATTTTATCTTTAAATCAGTTCCTATTTCTAATATGGAAATTCTAAATTTCTATAACCGCTGGCATCTGAGCTTTCTTTGACTGAAGCCCTGCGCGCTTAGTGACATCACACTCCATTAATCCACTTCTTATATACAGTCTATGTACTCAATAAATGGTAAAGAGTCACATTTTTATATAGTATTTTTTACCTTCAAGGCACTCAAAGCACTTTACATCAAAGAACCACTCATCCATTCACACACACACACATATATATATATATATACCAATGTACACAGACACTGGAAGTAAGGAGGGTTAAATGTCTTGCCCAAGGACACAACACCATATTAAAAAATGCTACTTTTAGGCAATAGTCATATTCAACACAAACTAACAGTACTGTCTTTGTATTAGTGTAGTTCTGTAAAATCTGTCCAGGGAAGCTCACATTATGTCCTTTTTAAGTTATTTTCAATACCTGCTGAAATAAGTATCTAATTTCAACATCTTAAGTGTTGAGTAGTATCTGATTTTTTATTCTTTTGACCTCCCTATACCAGGCTCTTGTCACTGCAGAGGTGCACTTGTTTTCCCCACAAGGACGTACCTCCCCAATGCTCATCACACACAGTGAACAGACTGGTCTTGTTGGTGAGTTCTGGCACCAGACTGCTACACTCCATCACTATGGCCTGAGGGATCATGATGATGCAGGACACCACCCAGATTACTACAATGTTCTTGCGAGCTCTCCGCGCAGTGCTCTTGAACATCAGAGGGTGACAGATGACGTACCAGCGGTCGTGGGCGATACTGCTCAGCGTGAGGACGGAGACGGACACCGAGATTGTCTGAAAAATTCAAATGGTAAAAATTCTAAACAAGTGAGTGGTGAGTGATGGTTAGTGCTCCTGCCTGTAGTCAAAGTTCAGTCAATACAATCTCTGCATGTCCACCCATGGTTGCCCACTTAATTGCTACATAAAGCTGTCCTATGTAACCTTTCTTGTAGGGGGTTCACCAACTGCTTGTCTGCATTGGCACTGCTTTGCTATTAAATTTGTTCATCTTGAATTTGTTTGACTTACAACCTTTTGGTATCACCTATTTTCCATTGCGATAGACAAGTTTGATACCATACTGTGGGACATTCCAGGTAAAGCAAAAGGCAAGTTATAGTGCACCTTAGACTGCCATTACTGAATAAAAAGGTCTTCACACATTTACAAATACACACAACATACTTTAACAACATTTTAGTTTTATCAGTGTATAATTTTGAGAAATACAGGACTACATTCAAACCATGCTCCATACAACTGTACAACAGCTCACCCTTTTATGATACATAACCTTCTGTCATGCCACATCACTATTTCATCTTTGCACTGTTTCTCCTGTGACCTCTTGTATATAGCTGTAATATATTTGTATTACTATATTTCTATATTGTTTTGTATGTGTTTTGTATGTTCTTAATAATATTATGGGATGTGTGAGCCACTGTGTCCAAATAATTTCCCTTGTGGACTAACAAAAATTGTATAAGTCTAATTTTGTTGTTTAGCCACTTTTACGAAGGCTGAATAAGGACATCATGAATGTGAAGTGACGTGGTCCTGAGCTGAATTCAAACCCTTTGATACCACACAGGCAAGATTGTTTTTAATCTAAAACCAAACACAACCTACATCAGTCACCACAGCACATGAAAATAACAAACAGAAAATGAACTCAAAGTTCAATCCTACCATTTAAATCTCAGCAGTCATGGTGAATCAACTGCACATGCATGTTTAAAGGGAGCTGAGCTACTTTTTTTTCTCTCCACTTGTCTCCATGCATGTTATTGCTTTGCCTGAAATGTTCTCTGGTTTAACATTAAACATATTCATCTAGCATTTATTCATTACAGGTGTTTCTATTGCTCAAAAATACAATAACTCCTTGTGGTGTAATGTAGCGTAAAGCTGTAGCCTGCTTGTCTCCCTTGTGACAGAGAAATTTAACCTATGTTATGGAACGTTCTGGACAAAGCAGTAGTAGAGATAAAGCAAAGCATTGGAAATAAGCAGGTGGCAGACCATCCACTGGAAATGTTACACAGTGCACTTTTAAGATAGTTTGTGAAATGGGTAGTCTAACCTGTCATATACATTTTAATGTTTACTTATTTGTATTAATTTTATTTAATTGTTTTTGCGAATATAAACCAATTCTCGAGGTCTCTGCTGGAGACCAGAATCAGTAAGTTGATTTAGAAAACTTTACATAAAATGTGTAGTGTATTATTGGTAGAACTTTATAATAAGGCATCATCATTTACTAAAAATTACAAGTATGTAATTATTAGCACATGAGGAGTTAATGATTAATAAACATTTGTAAATTGTTCCTAGATTGTTTTAAGTACTTAATTCAGGCATTCTTAGGCAGCTCAAGGGTCCTTGAGAGCACCATGGTGATGCTGTTACTTCGAGCCTAACTGCTGTAGCTTCAGATCATTACCTTTAATCTATCTAAGTCTGGATCTGTGATAGAGATTATCAGATGAAAGGAAAGATAACCAGACAGACAGACAGACACAAAGATACAAGAAAGGACAAGTGTCCTCCTTCACTTTCTGACCGGAGTATTGTTTGGATGAAGTGTCCCAGCATACAACGTATACAGTCCTACTTATCTCCAATAATGATTATTCAATAGATTTTCATAACATTTCCTAATTCCACATCTAAATAGGCTTTTTAATGTGCTCTGTACCTGCCTAAGGACTGCACATGGGAAGTAGCAAAATCTAGCACAGAACACCTTTTCTCTCTGAGATCAGTGTATTCTGTGCACTGTCCTTGTTTTATACATTGTAGTAAAACTTTTTATCCTTGTTTGTAAATGATTACTAAACACTAGTTAATGGGTAGGTATCTTTTAGTAAATTATTTGTTAATGGTTAAATTAACATTTACAAATGATTTGTAGGCATGCCTAATTATAAAATGTTACCATTGCCTTCATTAATGTCTGAATCACTGTGGTTAACTTTCATCACTGTCATCTCCCTCAACTTTGTGGACATATTTTTACTTATAATCTATTTAAACTACAAATGTTTACATGAAAGCTCCCACAAATAAGCCTTATTCATGAGATAAACAGTGTAATTTCAGATGTGACTGGTCATAATGTTATGGCTTTGATTGATCCCCACACATTTCCATTTCTTTAGTGTGTGTCATGTCCCCATGTCCACTGTCTAAATGATTTCCTGTGTGCAGACGCCACAGCAGGTGTAGGCTGAGATGGAGCGGCTTGTTATATTGAAGTGTTGGTGCACATCGCGCTCTGTTTCCTGTCTTATCTTTCTCTCCTCATTTCACATGTAGAGGGTAGATGTGTTTGGGAATTTAATCAAAGGACTTGAGGCCCAACCATGTCCCCAATTTCACGTCCAAGAAAAACCCAGGGCTGCCTAATAAACTCTTAGAAGTGTTGTGTGATGTGAAATGGGTGAAATGGCAGTCTGGTTATATAAAGGAAGCAACAATCAGTATTTGACTTTATGTAGTTGTTCTTTGGCTTCAGAATTGTGATCCAGGACCCGATCAAGTCTAACAATGTCTGTATCAGTGTTTCTCAAACTGTGGTATGTTCCTTAAATTTCCTGTATACGTTACATTATGTTACTTGACTTTTGTGAGCTTTTAGTTATAATATTGTTACCTTCTCAACACATATATCTGGAGATGTGTTTTGTTTCATTCACACATTTGAGTAAACCTTTATTATTACTCTGTCTGCATCTCACAACCTCAAAATGCTCTGTTCCACCTTGTGATGTCATGTTAACAGTTACCTTTTATGTTTAGTTCAGAAGAGATAGGCAATTCCAACACTGAAATCATCCAAATGATTCTTGTGAAGGCGTATGTGGAGTTTAAAAACACAGTGGAGCATGTCTTGTATTAACATGACATCACAAGGTGGAACAGAGTGTTTTCCATTTGGGAGAAGAATTTAGCTTAAATATGTAGAGTTTATGTGGTAAACATGTGTGAATGAAATAAATCACAACTCTATGTTTGTGATGCGGAAACAACATGATAACATAGATCAGAAAATAGTGTAATATGGGTCCTTTAACCCTCTCCAGGCAGGTGTTGCAGATTTGCAACAGCTAAATTCCAAGTACCTACTTACTTCACATCCATATTATATGAACTTTTTTTACTCAGGAGCCTTTTTTCCCATCCATGCTGATAAACGTGGCCAATGCAGACTGTGCAAGAATGGCTACATGCCTGCCAGAAGTGCAAAATACTTTTTTTGTTTACAAAGGATAAAAAAGTCAGAATTGTATATTACTACCCCATATTATAATTTTCCCCAAATATCAGATTTTTCCTGATACTAAAAATTTATTTGAGCCTGAGAGGGTTAAGGTGGTACTTGGACAGCTCTTCAATATACTGTATGTTTACTTAATTAAATTTATCATTTTCTTAACCTGCTTGTTTAGAAATATCAATGTCAATGATATAGTCCACTATTAGGACTAATTTTGCCCTATAGATTGGTTTGGATTTGATGCTATCTGGAAAGCCAACTCTCTTCTTTGATGGTACTTGATACGAAAAGTTTGAAAGCCACTGGTCTAGATGTATAGTTTTGTATTTCATATTTGACATTTTTCTTGTCAACAAATTCACTGAAAAGAAAACATATTTACATATAAGATTCACAAGGAAATCTAACTTTGCCTGTTGCTTTCAGCGGTCTCAAAAGAGAAATGATGTAGCAGCGCAGACAACAGCATAAAAGGTTGTCCAAGGCGTATTCACACATCTTTACATCAGACCTTTTCTCCACGGTTGACCTTTCAGTTTTGGGAAGATAAAAGAGACAAAAAGGAGGACTAAATGCTTCTTTCTGTGCCTCAGCTGGTGATGTAGAAGCCACATTTTCCATCACAGCATTTCAGGGCAAATCCAAACTGTGTTAGTTTTTTGGAAATAAGTCCTTTCAAGTTAATGAAGTCTTGCTGTAAGGAGAGCCACTAGAAACTCCTCCACACACTATGAACAACGAACAGTAATGGCCTCAAAATAAGAAATAATTTGAGAGAAAAACTTTTTGTTGTTTTGTTGAAGTTAAGCCTTCAAACAAGCCATTTCAGCTCGAGTTAAATATAAAACTGAGCAGAGTTCTCACAAGCTCAGTGTTTTGTGGCATATACGGAACAGACAGTGAGCTGTGAATACTTGTGTGAAAAACTGATCCAGCTTAGAAAGGTTTAGATCAGAATTGCAAAAGCAAAATAGATCAGTTTTGTCATGTACAGTCAAAAAAGTGAACCAAGATAGTGATTAAAAATAAACAAAAAAAAATCTGTAAACCTTGAGTGTGAAGTGCCAGGGTAAAAAGTAATAATTCTAAGAAAAGAAGGTAATATTTTTTGCACAGCCTTTTCAATCTGAGATGTGTACTATGAGTTTGCTTCAATTTCTCCAGAGACTTCCTCTAACAAATATCTCTACACTACACTTCAGTGGCCAGGGCAAATAAAGGTAACACACATTCAGCTGGCCAGTTGTTGCCATCGTGTTGCCATAATAGTGGTTTCTTGTAATAATGTGGTGTTATAGTTCAGATTTAGATCAAAATCATTCTAAATTGTCAGCGTAAATGTCCAGTTTGTTCAATTGAAGTTTTGTTTTTCTTTTTGTTTTCTGTAACAATACTTGTTCAAATTAGTTTCTAGTTTTGAAACAAAGATTTAGTATAGGTTGTATTTATGTTTTTGAATTTGATGTCATTATTTCAGATGGAGGCCAGGGCCAATAAGTCTATGGGACATTCAGTTTTTTGAAGAAATATCCCCACTCATGATCCACAGATGTAGAAAATTTGCTAAATTTCTTAAAGATTATCTCCACAAACATCCCACATTAACCCTTATATTGTGTTAGGGTCAAAATTGACCCGTTTTCAAGTTTAGGTATGTAAAAACTGCCATTTGCTTTTTTGTACCGGAATGAGGCTTCATCTAATCCTCAGACACAACTATTTTAACGCAACAAAATCAATTTTCACCATTTTAGTAAATTGTAAAGGTCTGAAAAAAAAAAAGTGACATCTGTGGTGTTACGGGTCAAAAATGACCCGGCAGATAATAGTGGCTGTTTTATGCATCACTTACAAGCTGTAGGCTGCTCTGTGGATCAAATATGGCTCAGTGTGTCCACACACACACACACACACACACACACATACACACATACACACACACACACACACACAAAGGTCGTCTTCACCCACGTGAACTCTTCTCTTTCTTGCAGCACATTGATACATTTTGAATCTAAAATAAACATTGTCATATATAAACAGGGTTTTAGTGAGATATTATCAGCTGTATTCTGTTGCAGCATCAGTCAACATGAGCAGGTTCACTGTTTATGAGGCGCTGGATCAGATTTTTGGTCATGACAGTGATTCTGAAGACAGAGAGGAAAGTGAAGCTGAGGAAGATGTATCTGAGGATGAGGATGAGGACATAGACTGAATAAAAGAAGTGGACTAAGTGAGTGTGACGTCATCCACAGCGTTTGGCGCCGCTCAAATGAAGCTCACGGTTACAGGAGCGAATCTAGAGCCAGGTTATATGTTATGAATAGGATTTTTTGGACGGACAAAACAGCCTAACCCTAACCCTAACCCAGCCAAAAATCAGGATCATGTGTCGCAGGTTAATACGTATATTTTAAGACCAAAATGACGAGGTTCACAGCAGCAGGTACAGAGAGAAGGACGACAAGATCCTAACATAAGTCAATTGGAGCCAGAGTCAGAAGGAGCTGGAAGAGCCTCCTGGAGAACTTTCTATTTGGAACGCGATGGCTACAGCGTTAGTTATGTCCATTCATATATATGTCTGTGGATGAGGATGAGGTTCAGTATGACCCTGAACAAGAGCACACATGTATGAGGAGAACCCAGATGTCACAAAGACTGAAAGAGACGTCTTCAAGTCAAGAAAAGGTGACAGTTCATGGTCACCAAGCCTCTTGACACCCAATATAATTATACTTATATAAATTAGATTTATATTATATGTATTATATATATAAAATTATTATGATTATAGTATAATTATATAATATAATTACAAATTTTATCACTATAGGAAATATAATTAGTGAATTTAAGCAGTTTTTGTAATCAAAAACGTGTGGTATATTTTAAGATAAAAGGTCTGTGCAGCCAAAAAAATTAATTAAAATAAAAATGTTTCCATGGACATGAACACATACTAAGTTAGTTATGAGGGGAAAAACAATATTGGATGATATCTAGTGTTTTTAAGTATTTTCAGGCTGAGTTAAATCACGGGTCAAATTTGACCCGGTAACACTAAAGACGCGTGTAGCTTTCTAACACAATACAAGGGTTAATTTTATGGCTTTGGTCCTTTCAGCTGACACAACTGTCACATTTTTAGGGTTGAATAATGACACCACTTGCATCACTAGCTATTGTGAAAAATTAATTTAACTTCTGTTTATTTACACTGATAGATAAGTTGATCATGTAGATAGGGCCAGTAATTATAGAGATATTTATGGTGGTGTATTGTACGGTGGTGTATTACTGAGCCGAAATATATTTTGGGGTGTGAGAGCAATACACCACCGTACTATCAAACAGCAAAATGTACCATAAAATTTTGACCTGACCACCCACACAATGTTAAACTATAAGCATTCAGTGTTCCCCCTGAACCCAGGCTATTCTCAGAAAGTAAGGTAGGATCATGTTATACCATGAGTTCGCTTTGCTTCAGAGACATCCTCCCACAAACTTCCCCGCATAAAGTAATAAATGTGTAGCCTTTACACACAGCCTATGCCCTAAAGCCCCACTCTAGATATATGGATAAAACGGTGCATAAAATAACATCGTCTGCGTGCTGTTTTACCTGGAGATAAGGCACGATTTTGCAGAGAGTTTTTCCAAAGAACCATGTCTCCGTGATGTCCACCACGAGGCTGGCGGGCAGACAGATGATGGTCACCAGGATGTCGGCAAAGGACAGGTTCACAATGAAGTAGTTGGTCACAGTGCGCATGTTACGGTTCTTCCACACAGCAAAGCAAACTGAAAATACACAAAGACATGCTCAATACACAAGTTTTATGTTTATTATGAGAGGCAGTTACAAAACAAAAGTGCTCTTTTTGATCGAGATGTCCTTCCACTCAGGCACATTTTGTCTGCAACAGATGATTTAATTAAAATATATGTGTATATTTGACAGCATTGCACAAATTACAGCATTATAGAATAGAAAAAAAATATTCACAATTCAATTTTAAAGGTTAAATATATTATACTGAACCAGTGAGGCAATGGCTTTTTAATGGTATTGTGAGACACTAACCTTGGGTCTACAATGTCTTGATCCATGAAAATTGCATTATCAAAATCAGACTGCATCTAATTGTAAAACATTGTACTAACTGCAAACTTTTAAGAAAAAGCCATGTGCTTTATATGACACTTTAAGATGTAAGTTGATTGATTGTGTGCTGGTGGTCCATCCTGCTTCATTTCTGTGTCTGTAAAAGGTGTTCAAAAGCTGCATGTGCTCAGAATATTCATGCAAATGAATCAAATGAACACTATATCCATGTGCCAAATGTTTGTGAGCTCTAGGAGCTACTGAACAGATGTGATTCATCTTTCTGTTTGAAAATGTGGTACCGCAGCTTTAGCAAAAACAATATCTATACATTTGTGCATATTGAACTATCTGGATTTCACTACAGAGAATCCCTTGTCATTTATTGAAAGAGGCTTTAAACTGAGAAATGGATTTGTATTCTAGTTATTTGATCAGCTGAGCTAAAACCAGTTAATCTATTTACACTATTGGGTATAATCTGAAGTCAATACTCATTTGGATCAATCCTAATTCATAATCTGTTCTATTTACATAGCATAGCACGTGGACTCTAAAGCATGTCATATTCTTTCTATGGTGAGTGACAGATCATCAAAAATAGCTCACATGTTTTAAGTTTTTTTTGGGGGGGTTTGGGTTCAACCATAGACCCTATATATAGACTTCTTTTCTACAGTCTATGGGTTCATCTGAGCCAAACTTAATCACTGACTTTTTGAGGATCAAAATACATGGGAGCACAGTTCACACTTCACATTGGAGTGACAAAGCATAGGTTTTTGAGCATACAAGAAATTGCAGTGAAGCAGGGTTAAAGGCAAAGCAATAACAAAAAAGACCATACTCACTAAAGATAAATCTACAGCTTCTGTGAATTAGTCACTGAATCTTTTTATTTAATTTATGGCACTTAAAGCAATATGATGTAACTTTCTTGAGGGGCACATCCCCTGCATGATAGAAATAAAGAGTTAAACCATATTTAAGAACATCCTGCATAGAGAGAGTTGTATGACATAATGTGGGATATTATAGCAAAGGAGCATCATTTCTATGGAAACAAGAAGAAGGAGGCCCTCCAGTCCAAATAAGAGTCGTTTTTGTGAAGATGCAAACCCACTCAAAGTAAGGACATATGCTTTTCTATGTTTTTGAGTGCAATAAAAAATCCATAATAAAACAGTTACGAATTATGGCTTTAATGTTTCTGGCATTGCATTCATAAAAATGAATTCAGCATTTATTTTTTGTGCCCTTTATTCATTCTTTGAAAATAGAAACAGATTATATGACATATGACCTTATGACAAACACAATATTTTCCACCATGCACTATGAATAGTATAATCTCCATGACAACACAGATGAGACCAATTGGTATAAAATTTGCAATACTCTTATTAACAAAATATAATTCTTCATTTGTTATATATCTCTATAAATCCACACTACATCTGTGGAGTCATTATCTGCAAACATGATTTAACAGCAATTTTGTGATATGTAAGAAATGATCTGATAATAACAGGATTCTCCTTGGCTAGAATCTGACTTTACAGTAATGGCAACAACAATGTCCATTACTGATATAAAAATACTCCTTAAGGTTCTATCATGCCTTTTCTAATTAGATTTTTCATGTTTTTTTATTTTTATTTTTTATTATAATTATTCAAATAATATATGATTTAGTTTCTTATTTTAAGTACAAAGAGGTGTTGTTTTTCTTATCTTCAGTGTAACAAGATACATTTTCCTATTTTAACTACAAAAAGATTTCCATTGGTAGATAATTTTACTGTCATGAATTTTACTCAAATCATGATAAAACTTTCTTAATTCAAATAATCTTAATTTGGCAAGATTTGTGTATTTGATTAGAATACAAAAATCTCACTATAAAATTAGTTTTTAAAGGCAAAATTTACTCTTGTGAGCTTTTAACCATGCTGTTACCTCATCAAAAACATAACCTGAGTTGTGTTTTATTTCATTCATACATGTCTGAGTAACTCTTTAATATTAATCTGTCGTGGAGAACCTCCATCACAAGGTGGAGTGTTTCCCGTTTGAGAGAAGAATTCATCTTCAATATGCAGGATTTGTGTGTTAAACATATGTGAATTAAATAAAATACAACTCTGGGTTTTTGATTACTAGCCAACATTATAACATAGAATCAGAATATAGTGTAATATGGGCCTTTTAAAGCAGTCGTGTTTCCACATGAAACCAATACATGTGTTTTGTGTGTTGTAGCTGTTTAAAACCACATCTCCACATGTGTCACTATTCTGACATTGCCTATTATATATTATTTACACAAGCCCATCCGGCACTGTTATTATGTCAGGCAACAGAGGCCCTGTGTTTTTCAGCCAAGCCCAGTCACTACATTTCTGTATCTATTTTTTCCCTAATGGCTTCCTTGAGTATTGACGACAGCAAACGGCAAAGATATATTTTCTGCCATGGCACCAAATTAATTCAAGGTCGCTGGTTTGATGTTTGATGCAAATAGACAGCTTTTAGAATGTCAATGCAAAACAAGTTAGTGTTTACAATTTCACTTCATATATCGCTTCTTCTGTAGGAAACATCTCGTCCATTTTTAGTGTGTGTAAAAGCAAATGATTTGCCAACAGAAGACCGTACAGCACACTGCAAAAAACAAAAATTAAGATTCAAAATTAAAGATTACTTGAATTAATAAAGATTTGACTAAATTCACTTGACAAGTAAAATTATCTATCAATGGAACAACTTGACTTTTTGTACTTAAAATATGAAAATACATCTTACTACACTTAGGATGAGGCAAACAACAACTCTTTGCATTTAAAATAAGAAACAAAATCTTAAGTTGCTTGAATAAAGAAAAAAGAAAAACCTTTATTCCACTGGTAGATAATCTTACTGGTCAAGTTGAGTGTACTCAAATAAATTCAAATGGGCTTAGCTTAAAGGTGCACTGTGTAACTTTCCTGATGGAGGGGCCGTCAAATGCTTTTCTCCATGGCGATGTCATTGCTTTGTCTCGAATATTTCACAGTATGGCATTAAACTTTTCTATCTTCATGGAGCCCAAACCACACCAAGTTCCAGCTCTGATCTGTGGAGAGGCAACCCCGCTCACAGTTAGAATGCCTGTTTTGTAGATATTTTTGAGCTATAAACACCTGTAATTGAATAAATATCCTGTAAGGTAGAGCTGTTTAATGTCATACTGTGGGACATTCCAACCAGAGCAGTGACATATTCATAGAAACAAGCAGGTGACCAATAGCCAGGCTGGTGCCAACTAGTGCCCCCACTCAATTCCATTTCTCTCCAGCAACCAAGTCAGGAATCGGAATACACTAGACGGTTTGCAAGAACCCTGGAAGTTGTAGACCGTGCTGGCCAATCAGCGAAGAGCTGTGAAGCCATGACTGGGTCCCTTTTGTGGTACAGCACAATAGTAAACAAAGAGGTTGAGATGGATGTAGACGAAGCCATACATTCTATGTTGGCAACGATTCCTAAGAACAAGGATTTAAAGCAGGAACAAAGAGAATGGTTGGTGAATTTTATCAAGGGGAAAGACGTTATTGCCCTTCTTCCTATGGGATTTGGTGCATTACATACGTCACAACCAAATAGCAGCGATTAATTAAATAAAAAAAGTACCTGCCTACCATTGAGTGAACGACTTCTAATGCTCTGAGGTCAGATGGTCTTCATTAAGTGAAACCTGCTGATGAATCAGGCTAGGTGACCAACCCTCCACCAGAAAAGTTACGCAATACACCTTTAAGTCATTTTAACATACATAGCTTTTTGCAGTGTAGATAGTGTGGAGCTTGTTTAGCATGTATAGACCAAATTAATATTTAGGTTATGTGGTGTTATGGTGCATTTTGATGTATGGTGCTCCAAAGAAATAGACTGCACAGTGCACATTACATTGATGCAAACAAGCAGAGCCAAACTGAATGAGGCGAGTTTTCAGAGCGTGTTATATAAGCAACTGTCCTGACTGCATCTGACAAGAACAAGACACTGAATGAAAATCTGTATATCAAATCAATGGAGTGAATAGAGCTGTAGATGGTCTATTTACACACTGACAAATCAAAAAGACTGCATGACAACCACAACATACAAGCAGTCAATTAATCCCTAGAGACACATTGCGCCTTGGTGAACAAAAAATGCTGGGATACTTAATATAATAAAAACTCCTCTTAAAGGTGCACTATGTAACATTTTGGTTGGGGGTTGGTCACCTGCTTGTTTCTGCAAAAATGTCATTGCTCTACTTAGAATGTTCCACAGCATGACATTAAAGAGCTCCACCTTACGTTTATTTAATTACAGGTGGATTTATAGCTCAAAAATACCTTGAAAAAACTGGCAATCTGACTGTGAGCAAGGTTGTCTCTCCACAGATCTGACTTGTAACTTGGTTTGGTTCTGTTGTCATGAAGACAGAAAGGTTTATTGTCATACTGGGAAATATTCTAGACAAAACAATAACATCTCCATGGAAAAAGCATTTGACTGACCCTCCACCAGAAAAGTTGCACAATGCACCTTTAAACTTTGGGGACTTACAAACAGGTGATAAACTGGCATGCAGGGTGTGGTTGAATGCATAAGAAAGTTGCAATGTTGAAATATATAAGGTACAGTATGTGCAGGCTGTGGAGCT